ATAATGCCATGTGTTGCTATTTATCAATGCATTATGGTTTAAAAATGAAGATGTGTTTGTTTGAATAGTTTTATAGTAAGCACAAAAAAAAAAATAGTTTAAACTTTCAAGAGAACTGTACATTTTTAAAATTTGTTTAGGTCTAAAGGTCTATTTACGAATATATTTAAATTGATAGCTGTGTTAAATGCTTATATAAAACATTCAAACAGCACTTTTTTTTGTGGCAGATAAACCTTGCCATTTCAAAAAACCTTCTTTTAATTCATCACGTGCATAATTATTAAAAGTATAATTGGTTTGAATTTTTTCAAGCTAAGAATCTTAATGAAGTTTCCTGTAATTAGCCTATTTATTGTTGCGGTTTGAAATACTCCTGTATTAGAATAATTTTTATAACTTTTAACATTTAATTCATATAGCGATTAGTGGTAATTTCTTTATTTTGTGCCAGTTCACCATTATTAGCATTTTGTTTTAGCTGTATGGTTATTTTGTACCTGTTAAAATACTAGATGCAATGGATTTGGTCTGTGTGCCATTTTTGAGGATTCCGTTCAGATTTTATGTCCCAATTTTCAAATAATAACATATTCTTTGTTTTTGCAGGAAAATAAAAGATTTTAGAGCCTTGAAGTAATTACGAAATAAACAAAAAAATAATTAATATTTTGTAAAGTTGATAAATTAAAAATAATAATAATAAACAATGTTTGATAGATTTATTTGAATAGTTACAATACAATCTTCCACAATCAAGGGCATTTGGTGTTATGGTTCTATGTTTACATACATTACAATCTTATATACAAATTAAAATACAAGCTAAGAAGAAAATAAAATAAGAATAAAACATAAGTAAAAATATATACATTAAAAGATATAGAAAAATACTTTTAAAAAGGAAGAAAAAAAAACACTGTAAAAATTATAAGAAATAAAAGAGAGAAAAATTACTTAATAATAAACAATAACAAAGAAACTCTGAAAATTACTACAAATCTGTCTAATGTTTCCAAATCGTTGTATATATACATGATATCGAGTCCATTCACATGATATCACTCACTGATTTGGGTGAAAGGCAAGTACAAATATTGTTAAAGATATCCTGAATAATGTTAGTCCGATAAGGATTTACTATTTATTTATTTTAGGTTCGTAGAAAATGAAATTATACTCCAAATGAGCATCTAGGTTGTTTTATTGTTTCCATGTTTTAAAATAAACAAAGGTAAACAGGTTTCCACAGAAATGTACGTGTTACAAGTTCAATACGCTATGTATTTGCAAATACTGCTCCGAATTAGACTTTTTTTTTTTTAGAATTGAATTACTTCTAAGAATTGATTATATAACATAAAATTTATACAATAATTTCTGAATTAGCCTAAATTGAATACGTTTTTCTCAAGATTTGATAATGTGGAAAAGTACTTCTTAAATTCTTCTTCTTTTTTTTTTTTTTTTTTTTTTTTTTTTATAATAATACAATCAGCCACTGTTGGAGGGCTATAAGTATTAAGGCTAAAAGTTCTCATTCATACAATATGTACAAATAATAGAGAAATAATAAATATAAAAAAGTAAATAAATAATACTGATAAAATACAGTAAATAAATAATAAAAATAAACAAACAAAATAAAATAAAAACTTCTAAACACATTCATACCTATATACAATACTAAAATTCTAGATATACATATGATATGACAACATTGGACACGGAAGCTCGAAACAATGAACGGTTGATACATTTAACTGTTTCTTACCAGTACGATATGGAAAAAAAAGTAGTGATTTATTATTAAAATATCATTCAACCCATCCAAATATCAAATTCTTAACAGAGTAAAAAATTCTATGCAAAAATAAATACACTTAACAAATAAAGCATTAATAAAAAACAAAAGATGTTAATAAGCTTTTTTAATGCATAAAAACTAATCAATAACCCATGAGTGGTAATCATTTTGAATAAAAAGAAAATAGGAAATATAATAATATCAACATTTCAAAGCGGCGAAACTAAAAAAAGGGTCTAATCACAGATCAGTTTAAAATAACAAATAGCGATAAACACGATCATATTGATATCTGTAATATTTATTACAAATATAGAGGATATTGATAATACAGTAAAATAAATGGAAATGTGAATAAATATTTAAAACTAAAATATATACTCAATTTAACTGGACATTAACAAAAAAAAAGAAATCAAATAGAAATATAAAAACATTAATTTAATAAAATAAAATGTATTAAATGCTCACATATTATTTAAAAAGAGACGGAAACAACTTATAGTATAGTAATTATAAACAACTTGACAATTGATCTGAGTACTTTGGATTGGAAGGATTGGCTACATTTGATATTCAAAAATTTAGCTGTCCCCCACAATTCAAGTCCATTGGTCCAGATAGGTTTCTGTACGGTCTTGTAGTTTATAATTTGTTTTAAATTGTAAGATGAGATGTTCTGTTTAATGATCTGTATAACTAGCCGAATCGTCAATTTAGTTTTTGTCTTTTAAGTCTGGTATGTGCGTTCCAAGTCAGTCTTTTGTCTAAAAGGAAGCCAAGATACCGGACAGTGTCTGAGATGGGAAGTAGAATATAGTTAAATAGGATTGGCGGACAGAGTCTACGTCGGAGGGTAAAGTTGACATGTTTACATTTTGATTCATTAATTTTGATGCACCAATGGTTGCACGACTGCTCAATCAGCGTGAGGTGTTTTTAGTAGATTGAGGAACGCTATTTGGGGGTCTGAGTGGAAGGACCGAATGGTGGTATCATCAGCAAATGTTGCTAGGAGGGTTTCGGAATCTGTAGGGATATCTGCAGTGAAAAGAATGTAGAGAATATGACGCAAGACACTACCTTGGGGGACACCAGCCTCGACTGGGTAACAATCAGAAAATTCTGAGCCCCAACAAGCTCGGAAGAAACGATTGGAGAGATAGAATTTTAGAACTAAGTACAAGGATTGGGTTAAATTCGTTTTAAGCATGAAAAGTAAACTACGTCCTGAAAGGCACCGGTGCATTATTGCTTGCTTTCAAGAGCAAAGAATATATGTTCAACAACACTTAGGCCATGCTGAACTGTGGAATGTTGTGAGCGGAAAATAAACTGGCGAGGAGGGATATTTTGGGATTCTATTATGAGATTTTTGAAAGGATCGGGAGCAAGCTTGTTGGTCTTGAGGATGAGGTATTATTAACAGGTTTGACTGGTTTAGGGAAGAGAATAATTATGGAGTGTTTCCACAACAGTGGAAAATGGGTTGTGCGGAGGATACAATTGTATAAGTAGGTAAGGAATATAATTGAAAATGTATAATATAACTGAATATAATACAAAATGAAAAGGATAAATAATATTTAAAAAAATAAATAGTACAAATAAAAATAATGTTACACAAGTTTTATAAAAAAAAAAAAAAATATGTGATTTGATATGCTGTCACCTATAAGTACCCGTGTTTTTAGCAAAAATACTGCAATAAATTATTTAAAATCTTTAATAAGCCTAAATCATTGCATAAATAAACTTTTTATTGAGGAAAAATTATTAAAAATATATATAGTAAATTTATGTTTTCATGAAAATAACTCAAAACACTTTTCAGGCAATAATTTATTGTTGCCACTTTTGCTAAAAACGCGGATACTTATTGGCAGGATATCAAATTTCTTAATTTTTGTTTACAACTAGGCGTAAATCTCAACTTATTTCGTAATAAAAATCAACTTAACATGAACTTAAAGCTTATTTAACAAGTAAGTTTTGTTAAAGTGCGATTTTATTATCATACTTGGAGGGTCATTAAAAAAAAAGAAAAACGGAAATCATTCTTAATATTTTTAAAAATAAAACTCAGCTTAGTTTAGACGAAAGTATTATTCAATTAGTTTTAACAATACACTTTAAATAAATATATAGTACAAATAAAAATTATGTCACAGAAGTTTTATAAAAAAATTGTGTGATTTGATACCCTGTTACCTAAAAGTACTAAAAGTGTTTTCTGACTACTAATAAATGACTACTATAAATTATTGCAAAAGTTTAATTTTTTTTAATAATCTGGAATCTATAATAATAAATATAAATCCATAAATACACTTTTTATATATTAAAAAATGTTAAAGATGTATTTTTTTTTGCCAATATCTGTATTATAGGAGTTGGTTCGTATTTAAAAATGGTCAACTGAATGTTTCTAGTACTAAAATTTACGTTAAAAATAAAGATACCTGCTGATTGTTTCAATTATTTACATGAATACGTAAATATTAGGATTAGTAAAATTCAGTTCGTCACTTATAAATAAGGATCGATTGCTATGAAATAGATATCTGTAATATTTATAACAAATACAGAGCATACTGATAATATTTTAAATATATGAATAAGGATACTGATAATATATTAAAGTATATGGAAAGGTGATTAAATGTTTAAAACTAAAATATATACCCAATTTAACTGGACATATTAAAAAAAAAAATCAAATACGAACAGAAAAATATTAATCTTATGAAATAATATATATTCAATGCCAAAATATTATAGATTGAAGGAAAATACATAATTTAAAAAATATATGGAAACAATTCTTAGCTAATGCTAAAAATATAAAAAACATAGATCTAGCAAGACTTACAAAGGGACTTAACGGGCGTGGGATCACCGATTTCAATGAAACTTTTTTTGGAGATCCTAGGTCGAAAAATATTAGACCCATTTCCGAGGGTTCTTGCCGATACTCCCTAGGGACCGAGAAAAAAAATTATATAATTTCCAACAAAATTTATTTCATTGATTTTTCCCTTTGCTTTGCACAGATTTTTAGGCTATTGTACTCCAATAGATTATTTTTTTTCTGAAAAATAAGAAAACAATATTGATTATAGTATTAAATGAGTTGTTCTTCTTCTTTATCATCCTCCTTAGTGTCTCTCAGGGTGGAGGTGCCCAGATCCAGGACTGCCAAGACTCTCAATCCCGAGCCCCGCTAGACAGGCACTGGAGTAGAGCTCCTGCTACAGAAATGAAGTACCTCCGGAGAATAGTAGGCAAAACAAGAAGGGGCAGACTTAGGAATGAAAGGATACGAGGAGACTTAGGAGTGTCAGATTTGAGGGAAACAGTTGAAGGGAGGCAGTTGGGATGGTTTGGTCATCTATGCAGAATGGATGAGGACCGTGATCCAAAGAAGTTTTTTGAGGCCAGGCCTACCGGAAGCCATCCTCGAGGAAGACCTAGATTGTTATGGATGGACCATATCTCCAGGATTGGTGAAAAGAAAGAGAAGTCTATCATTTCAATGAAACCGCTGGTTCTGGATCGAGAAAAAAAATGAGTTGTTAATTATCTTAAATAACAAAAACTAAAAGGGACTTACAGTAAAGTAAGTCATGTAAATTTTTGATATGAAGAAGAAAGTTACATTCGTTTTTAGTGTTCCTTATAACTCATAAATACGAAATTTTATAGATATCTAAAATTGCAAATTTTAGTACTTGATTTTCTAGTGAGCTTGTTTTTCCAATCGTCACCTGTAGCATGCTATATACATATATACATAACTTCCTAAGATTTCAACTAAATTCATGTTAGGAAAGCTGGAAAGCTTTCCAGGACCGCTGGAAAGCTGGATTGTCGCTCTTCCAAACCACATCTATAGCTTTTGGAATTAATTCATTTTTAAGATAGATATTTAGAAAAAACTTCTCAAGCAATCTCTGGTTCTAATTTGATAAAGGAAGTCGCTTTCATACAATTGTAGGATACAGGGCCCTAAGTTCCTAATTCATTTTGTCTGATTCAAGGGAGTCGTTCTAGCCAATATTTAATCCAAAACATTTTAATGTTTCGACTGTTATGAAAATTCATATTGCAGAAAGTTTTGGGGTGCGAAAAACGAATATAAACTTTGTTTCTCCATAAAAAAAAATTGTTTTTCGTATTCTGCACAAAAAAGTAATCGATTGGTTAATAACCTAAAAATCCCCGGGATAAGTAAGGACAAAAATTAATAACATAAATTTTGTGTTACAATGGACATGTTGGACATGGGTCTGATATTTTTCGACCTAGTATCACCAAAAAAATTATTCATTGAAATCGGTTTACCTCCCCTTGTTAGTGTTCTTAAAAAACATCATAAAGTTAGTTTATAATGTTTCCAGTTAAATTGGGTATATGTTTTGATTTTAAATATTTATTTACATTTTCATATACTTTTACTGTCTAGTTTCCGAGCAATCCATGTTTTGCATATGCGTTAGCCCGCTCGGTCACCCCGCCCCGTTAATTCTCATTATTTACGTTGAATAAAATAACAAAACTTTAAAAAAATAACTTTATATTACAATAACTATATGAAATCCCTTCACCTTATGATAATGTAGTACTAATCCCGTTTATGAAAAAAAAAGAATTTAGTTGATTTTGGAATTCTACTTCTTAAGAGGTGATAATATACCTCATGAAGTATATAGAGATAACTAAAGGAAGCGATAACTAAAAAAATTACAATTAACAATTTCTTCACAGTAAACAAAGCAAATCCGCCAATCCACCTCTTTCTTGGCATAAATTAATATATTTGTTTTTATTTAGTAATATAATAATCTGTTACGTGGACAATAATTATAGTGAGATATGAACACATTTACACCATATATACAGAAAACATAAAATTAACAAAAGTAAAATAATAATCAATAACTATATACAATCAAAAATAAACTAAACTAAAGATAACTAAATTAAAAACATAAAAAATAAGTCATACTTATACACAATCAGGGAGGGGACCCGAAGCCAGGCTTGTCCCTCCAACTATAGAGGGAAAAGCAGGACTCCAAGAGATCCCTGTGCTACTCTCTCAACCGCTTCACTGGTGCTAAAGCCAGTGGAGATCGAGCGAGAGCGCTTTAGCCACATACACTCATGTCTTAAGTGGAGAATCTGGCCATTGCCAGAACTCCAAGATATATACTACAAAAGATCTCTGGGCCACTGCCGCTTCAACTTTCGAGGAGGATTGTAGGGATGAGTGGAACTAGATAAGGATTGTGCATGGGGATTTGGATGATTTGTAAGGTTCTGATGGAATTTGGACAATTTTTCAGGGATAAGGACTAGGGCAAATGGGATATTAAGGTCATGATGTAGGGTTTTGTTGGTTTATAGAACGGAACACCAACTATTGTTAGGAGGATTTTGGATTGAAAGGATTGGATGCGTTTAATGTTAAAAAATTTAGCTGTTCCCCAAAGCAATTAATATTATATTAGATCTTCTGGACAAGGTTTTACTTTGGAATATTCAACAAATAAATATTTTCATTTCATTTCAGTATGACCAGGACGATGATTATGGCATGGATTGGCTGCTTTACTTGGTCCTGTCCCTTCGAATCATAGAAAATACTTTCATTTACACATTTAGTACACGCTCGATGTAAATGTTTTTAAAATAAATTGTTTATTTCGATTTTGGTCGTGTGGTTGTCAACAGTGAACTCCCCCCCCCCTTCCACCAAGCCTCCCCTTCCTCCTCCACTCCTCCCTTCAAAATGTTAAATGAATGGGATTTTTAATCAAATGCATATTGAAACGCTATCGTAACTGTATCCCCCCTTTGTAGAATATTTGGGGGGGCAGAAAGTGCCCTTGAACCTTCTCCTCTTCCCCAGTGCTGGCGCATAGGCTATAGATGGATTTGTTTTTTCTGCTTAACACACCAAAAAAAATTACTGTACAGCAAGGTTGTATTCTATATTAATTGTCGTAGATTCATATTTATAGTCAATGTAATATTCTTAAAATTTGTAAATTTATTTAAAATTGGTTTCTATTCAAAGTAAAGAGGTTAATGAGGGTTGTGTGATGTTCGCACCGAATCTGATTTTTTTTTTAATTGACTTATTCCACTAATTTTAATATTAATATGCATAATTATATTTGCTTTTTTTTTTCCAGATTGAAATGAAAAGTTTTCTTTGATCTGAACCAGAGGAAAGAAAAGGTAGAAAAATGTCTGATCCTGATAGCTATGATGACGAAGTATGTCAAGTATTATAATTTAATTAAGTAATACTAATTAAGAAAACACATTTTTTTAAAGTATTACGATCGAGAAAACTATCGAATCCGAGTTTTCGACTGAAATACATATTTTGAGTCCAAATAACCAAATTTCGCAAAGATGTCTGTCTATGTGTTATTGTTTTGTTTTTTTGGGTGTGAGGGTGTGAACATAATAGCTCAAAACGTAGAATGAAACTTAAAATTATGAATTTAAGATACATATGCCTGGGATGTTACGGCAACGTTTTAGCTTATATCTACTACCTGGAAGTGGCATTGTATATCATCGGTTTTGCACCACATTACGTTTTTCTCAAAACAGCTGGAACGATTTTAATTAAAGTCAATATATCAATGTAAAATTAATTAGTCATTGAAATTGTTTAACTGGGATAACATGCCGAATTTTCAACATTTCATCCTCTAAAGTACTTTTCATTTTCTTTATCCATAGGCGTTGACTTTCCATTTTGATTGTGAAGAGATGGCAAACAAAAGCAGTAGTTGGTCTTATGTGTGAAAATTTAACGTAATTATTGTAAAACGAACAAATATAATATTGAATATTTAAAAATAAATTTATATATATGTTTGGACTGTTGTAGGATTTTTTTTTATATGCGTAGGGATATACTTGAAAATATCTGAACAAAACAATTGGATATATTACAATTTGTATACATTAAACATGGGAGGAAGAGTGACAGCCTTCATAACATAGATACATTTCTATGATTTTCCTAGATAAAAATGAATGATGTAAAAAAAACTAAAAAATGTTTTTGATTTCTTAATTTGCAAAACTTTAAAATAAAAATGCAATGTTTTCATAGTCTAACTGGTTTTGTAAAAATATCTACAACAAGAACATTTCTATAAAATATATTTATACTTGTACATATTAAATATGTTTTTTCCATCTTTGTTTTTTATCTTCCTCGGGTCTTAGCAATTGTTTCGGGTCTTGCAATACTCAAATATACAATTCAACAAGAAAAACAACGTTGTTTAGAATTAAGGCAAGGTTAAAATGTTAAAACATCGTATTGTATTCCAAAATAGTCTGTTGACCTAATTGCGGGACCGCAAGAGTCTTGCAGGTCAGTCTTGTTATTTCACAAATCTTGCAGGGTCTAGTCTTGTAACAATGTTGGCAGTCTTGATCTTGAAGTTGTTCATGTGAAAGTCCAAGACAAAGACCAAGACCGACTAGTAAGCAAATGTGAAGAGAAACATTTATTCTTCAAAAGCAAGGGCCTTCAAGGGCCACAGAAACATTATTTGATATAGTTTATTTCTTTTTATTCCTGATAGATTACCGTTATTTAAAAAAATAAATAAATAAAAATATATATTACAAAAAATTAATCCTAAATGCACTACTGCATACTATTACCGATTGTTTTAATATTATTTAATCTAAACATCAATGATTCCCCTATTGATAAAATAAAAAATATTAATACAGCTCTCATTGCCGATTAAATGCCATTTTCAATCTATTAATTAATGAATTACTGTAGATAAACTATTTTGTTAATTTATTTGGTTACTACAGCAAATTAGTGGATTGACGGTTGACGGTAGTGAATAATTGATGAGGAGTTGATTGGGGTGCTTAGTTCTAACACCCCAACCAACTTCTCTTCAACCAAAGCAAATTAATTGGTTACAATTTTTATGTATAATATACTATCATAATAACACTAAGAAGTTGTCTTTTCATAATTTTAACTGTGAGACATGCTATATTAATTATATGTTTTGTACAGTTAGTATCCAGTAATCCAAACCAGAGAAATTGGCGAGGTATCCTTATCGCGGTCTTGGTCATACTTACAGTTCTCGCTCTCATCGTTACAAGTGTCTTAGTACTCACTCCTCCAGAACGAGGGCCCAGGATACGTGGCACAAGAATACAGGCACACGATGTCATCGGACACGAACTGGCTGGCCTTAGGCACAATGGATCTTGGGTATCAGGTAATTAATTGATATAATTATTTTTTAATTATCATTGACATTCCACATTCTGATATTGAATTTTTTACTAAGTAAATCACGTTGATGAGAATGATATAATAAAATATGAACTTGAGATTCCTTACATATCATCCAAAAAGGTTTCGTTGTGATTTTTATTGAAATTTTCGTTGCAATATTCTATACTTTGCAGTGTTGCGAACTTCAATATAGTATAGACACAATTGACAAGTTTCGTAAAAAAATATATAACCTCTCCTTTTAAAGAGTTGTTTCAGAGCTAGTCACTGAAAAGATTTATTTAAAGTAATCCTTAAATTAAATTAATCAGAATTCCTATGATAAAGATTATTATAACAATGATTTTAATTGTGAGGATTTGCATAAAAGGGATTTTTTTTACTTAGATACCCTTGTTTTTCATATACCCGCTTCTTCTGCTTATTTCTGGTATACGGGATGGGGGGAGGGTAATTTTGTTCTAGAGACCAAACAAGTTCTAACCAGTGTGGAAAGGTCGAGATTTATACGGCGGGTCCTCCATTTACAATTAGAAAATATCCACTCCCCGTGACCGGATTTAAACTTGAGGTAGATAAAGCAAGCAACTCTTCTATACGCTCAGCCACCACGGCATCAATTTCTTCAAAAATGTACCATCGTCAACCGTTAAACGGAGAGACCGATCTACTACTCCAGTAGCCGACAAACCCATCTCAGCGCATATAGTCTGTGCGCCATACCGTGCACCTCTCCTCACCCCATCCCCAGATCCCTATAAATTGTATATCGTTGTGTTCCTTATAACTATTTATTAAAAAAAAAGCCAATGTTTCCACAGAAAAAAAGTTAACGCACTGCCCTAAAATGGCGTGCAAACATGGCGGACTGACGACTTTGACTTTAGTTAGTTTTTTGGTCACTGAGAATCAGTATTTGGGTTAATTTCTTCATAGTTGGTCTTTTACTAAAGCTGGATAGTTAGAGAATAATAAAACGTGAAAAAATGTTTTAAAAAAATCGCTTAGGCAATAAAAAACACCAGTAAATTCAATTATTTAACTAAACAATTTTCAAGTTTAAAAGCAAGCGTCGTTTGTAATTAAACGATCTACGATAACCCAAAACGTGCTAAGATAAAACATCTTGAGAATATATTTTTCTTTCTAAAACACTGATTACTTTTTCAAATATTTGATTCAGTTCCGTATAAAATGCACTTAAGCGGCAAAAAAGCGATACTGGTGTTGGTACCTACATGCCTCTACCACACCATTCAGTACTCATAAATGGCTTAGTTATAGTGCTATAGTAACGTTTTTGGTACATTATATTGATTCTATGAACGAACAAATATTAATGCAATAAATTGATCGTCCAAAAAAATTATACATTTTTTTAAAAATTTATTATTTCATTTTTTATTTATTTTTTAAAATTTAACTTTCTTTATTCTATATGTGGGTCGTTTAAGAAGGCCTCTATTGTAACAATAATATAATTTTAATAATAAAACTTGATTTAACAATACTTTGCTGAATATCTAGATGATGCATGTTTATTATGGTGAAGACCATTTTATCAGCAAGAAAGATTTGTTCGAAGCAATTGGCAGGTCAGCAGGTCTGGACGAAGTAAACTATAGTTTAATATTGTTAACGAAGGTTTGCTATGGTGGAAACCGTTTTATTTTTTATTGCTATTGAAGTTGCACATTGGGACTAACTTCACTTTGAAGCAGGTTATAGAGAGATCTATCGAGAAAGGGAAATAGCTTTCTTTCTGTTTAGTATATTTGCAAAAGATTTTTGAAGGAATCTGAAACGAAAACGAGTTTTTCTGGAAGACTAGTAGATATTAGCAGAATCCAAAGTGTGAGGCACTAAGCAGATAGAGAGCTATTTTTCTTTCTTGGTGGGCTCCTTTATAACCTGCCTTAAAGTGAAGACAGTTCCAATTTGCAACTTCTGTTCCAATGTGCAATCGCACTCTGGCAATCGCTAATATTTCTTATTCTAGCTTCTACGATTTGTGAGTAGAGTTTCTTTGGTACACTAAAGAGGAATTAGTCTCTGTATTTCAATATATTTCAATTCCTAGTGTCTCCTTTCTTTAAAGGGACCAAACTACAGTCCTTCGATATCATTTTCTAATACATTTGTTGCCTATGTACGCGCAGCAATTCGGTTTCCTACGTCCAGACCAGCTGACTTGCCAATTGCTTCGAACAAATCTTTCTTGCTGATAAAATGGTCTTAACCATAATAAATCTGCATCATCTCCTTAATATCATTTAAACTGCTCCATCATTTGAATTGAATCCCTTTTAACAGCATCTTGACATATTCTGTTCATGTGTCTACTATATATTCGTTTAGACATATAATGGATACTGATCCTTGTTTTCTTTTCCTAGATTTTGACACTTCCATTCTCTTTAGCTTAGTGTATTTTTCCAACTTTTTGGGTTCAATTTGGCATTTTCCCTCATTTTGAGACCATATACTAACAATCAGTTCCGGTTATCTAGAAGAACTTATAGTTTCGCCTTTTCCATCTTTATTCTTGTTGAGAGAATAATGCGTTCAATATTAAAATTTTCTATTTTTTTTTTATGATATGGTCCAACTTCCGAACAAAATAAAAGAAACATAAATTAAGTTTGTTATTGGTGATATATGAATTTTACTAAACAACCCATCAACTATTCATTATATGTAGTTCAGATTAGGTATATATTATTTTAGTTTATAAAACGGGTATTAATATGACTCATTTCCGGAGAAGTATATACAATTTAAATTACTTCTAAGAATCAGTAAATATACTAGACAAAGTGTTAAATTGCAAACATTAAATAAAACATTTAAGATATTCAGCAAAGTATTTTTGAATTAAGTTTTATTATTATAATTATATTATTTTTAGAATAGAGGCCTTCTTAAACGACTTCTGTATAGAATAATGGAAGTTAAATTTAAAAAAATAAAATAATAAATTTTTAAAAAAATGTTTAATTTTTTTGGACAAGTATATTATTGCATTAATATTTTTTCGTTAATAAAATCAATATAATGTACCAACAAGGCTATCATAGCACAATAACTAAGCCATTTGTGCATTTTCTACGGAACTGAATCAAATATTTTAAAAAGTAATCAGAAATATATTCTCCAGACGTTTTATTTTAGCACGTTTTGCGTTATTATTGGTCGTTTAATTACAAACCTATTTTTTTTTTTTTTATGTATTTTGTTTTTTTCATTGTACATAGTTTTTGATTATTATTTTACTTTAGTTAATTATATATTTTCTGTATATATGGTGTGAATGTGTTCATATATCACTATAATTATTGTCCACGTGACAGATTATTATATTTCTAAAAAATATATATAAATAAAAAAATGACGCTTGCTTTTCAACTTGAAAATTGTTTTGTTAAAATTGAATTTACTGGTGTTTTTTATTGCCTAAGCCAATTAGTTTTTAAATATTTTTTCATGTATTATTACTTGCTGACTATCCAGTTTTAATAAAAGACCAACTATGACGAAATTAAACCAAATGCTGATTCTCAGTGACCAAAAAACTAACTTAAGTCAAAATCATCAGTCCCCCATGTTTGGACGCCATTTTAGGACAGTGCGTTCGCTTTTTTTCTGTGGGAACATTGGCTTGTTTTTAATAAATAGTTACAAGGAACTCTATATGCAATTTTTACGGATGTGGGATGTGGGGGAGGAGTAACAGTATTACACGGTAGGGGGGTTTATCCCACCTTGTATTTTCTTTATTTTTATTTTTTCATTTAACAATTTTTATTCATATCGTAAGAGAATATTCCATGAATGAATATCAATAGTATCTATAGTATTATCATTTATTATTCTTATTCAGAAGGAAATTTAAATTACAACAATAAAAAAAGTATATCTGCCTCAAGAAATTTATCATTTATTTTTCTTACCTTTATGAAAATTTTAACCAATACGCACTGACTTGCCAATCAAAATCTCATAAAATTACTCGTCTCATTTGTATTCATGATCTGCATAACCGAATATTTTATATTTTATTACGAGGTGCGAAACTGTAGGTTGAACAGTCTGAGCCAAATTTTTTTGGCTCATAACATGTTTAAGTTCAAGAGCTATGAATTCAGGCATTTGAACCGTAAAAAGTTTGTAATACATTTGAATAAATCGATCTGACAGTTCATTTTCTAAAAAGACCTAACAAGTTAAATATATTTCAGGGAACGAGCTGATGTACAGGGATCAATGGAGCAACATCGTCATCCTAAATGCTGATAATATTTCAACAACTGTTATTATGAACAACCAAACTTTTGTAAGTATATTAAAACTATTTTAATATAAACCAGTTATTAAAGTATTATGTAGAACTTTAGGCTAAAAAAAAAAAAAGCGTAAAGTTAGGTGTATTTAAAAACCTACATTTTTTTTGCTTTTACTGTTGCTATTTTAAGATAGTTAGAAAAATTGATGCAATATTATGCTTTAAAAATTATTTATTTATGCTTAAAAATATATCAATATTATGCTTTAAAATACAATACTTTTATGTACATTACAGAAATAGTATGTAGTGTTCTCCACTTTCACTCTTGAGTTGACTCTTCACTAGAGATTTCAGGATTGTCTTGTAGATAAGGTGGGATCAGAAAGGAAAGAGCGGAGGACTAGGTATAAAAATTAGGGCAGAAGGGTTTTAGGCTTGAAAAGGATTCATGCGTGCTATACCCGGTCAAATGCTTGTTCTAAGTCCAAAAATGCACCCGAGCACTATTGTTTGCTTTCCAGGGTTGAGGAAATATGATCAAGCACTCAAAGTCATTCTTGGACTGTGGAGTGTAGCGAATGAAATCTGAACTGGTGGGAAGGAAGATTTTGGGAGGAAGAACCATCACCTCGATGGAGAGGATGGGGTTTTACGATTTTTTTAGTGACCTTAGGGAATTGTCATGAGGGGTGAGGACAGTAAGGTAGGTGTTTGGGATTGAGATCTGAAGGTGGCCAATTCCTGCTTATATTTTACAGAAATGTTTTATCACCAATATCGGAGGCCTTTGTTCTCTACTTATTGCTGCAGACTCCATTACCTCCTTGTTATTTTGAAGCACTTGGTAGGGGTTTGGAGTAAAGAAAGGATATTTTTCAACTATTTCTTGTGTTGATGTACCTGGTTGAGGCTGAGGTTCAGATTCTAAATATTCTACAAGTGTGGTCACTGGAAGAGTTTTCTGTAGGTTGCGAGGAGTTCTTTGTTTTGTACCACGAGGAGTAGAGCCGCCTGACCGTGACCTCTACAGGCGCTTTACTGTACATAACTTGGTGATAATACCGCATATCATAACAGAAAAAAAAATTTTAACTGCACACACTGTAAATATCAACTGTTCTGATGTACCCTTGGCCTGTATTGTGTGAAAAAATCACAGAGATTTCCCTGAAAACCAAGTAGATTTTGGGCGTCCAGCTGGAAAAATGACCTCTCGCATAAGCTGATCGATCAGATGATTAAATATTAATTTAAAAAAAATATTGTTTATATAATAGTAAATTTCAATTATTTATCTTATAGATATTTTGGTTGATTTACTCACATTGGATAATTTTCAGAGAAGACTGAATGCTGTACAGTTCTCCATGTCACCAGACCACAAGTATATTCTTTTAGCCCACAACACACAGAAGGTATCTACTGAATTTAGTAAATTACTATTAAAATTCAATACTGATAAATTATATTAAAATAAAACATGAATTAAAGAAAATTTTATGTTATGTTAAAATTATAATTGCAGTTTTGATTTTAAGGTTTATTATACATTATCTAGTAGTTATTCAGTTTATAATTTATACTTCTTAGTTTTTTGGTTATATACTTAAAAGTTTGCTGTGCATGATATATGTTCTAGCTTCCTCTCTTGAAAGGATCTTGGCACAGGTCCATCTTTATTACAGTTTTCGTTGTTTCGCAAAAATTAAGGATCTATTGGGTACCAAATGAATTTAGAAATATATTTTTGACGTTTGACACTCAAGAAAAATATTAGGGTGGACGTTAGTTTATTTCATCAATTCCTAAATTAAGAAATGACGATTCTATAAGATTAAAGATCCCCAATCTATGGTCCAATGGGGTACAGTTGAAGGGTTGCTGATTTCAGTTGATGACACAGGCGGATCTACGGGGGGGCTTTGGGGTTGAAGCCCCCCCAAAATGGTGAAATATAACCATATTTTACAGAAAAAAGATTAAAACCTATCTCTTACAGTATTCATGTTCGTGTTATTATATTTGATAGGACTTCAAGAACCATTTAAACACCATTTCATATTTATTTTTATTTATTTATTTATTTCCATCCTCCCATGCCACAATGGCAATACGGGTGTTTGCAATAGTGTGTTTTAGGCATGATTACTTAATAACACACTACTACTAGATATGCACATATGTAGTTCTTCTGTTTTATCTTCTTCCTTCTTCTTTCGGCCTAGCTTCCAGAATCTGGAGGTCTTCCTGGCGCTTGTCCTCTTCTTCTGCCAGCATCAATATGGAAGTGAGCGGGCCCCACTGCAGTCTTCCATCCATTTATGAAATCCTTAAACCGCGAGAAATTTTCCTTACTGACTTACTGAGGAAACTCATTTTCAGTGAGGACACAGATTCCCGCGACTCTTGTCATTGTCGCTCTTAACGTTTAAAACGCGGTGCAGGTCGTGACCACGTGCTCTACAGTTTCCGGAACACTACAGATTGGGCATAGAGGATCTACACCATTTCATATAGGTAATTAATTTCTTTCTTTTTTTAAAAATTAATTATCGTTATATATATACATGGAAAAAAACTCTTTCAGGCTGAAGCCCCCCCCCAAAAATTAAATTCTGGATCCGCTAGTGGTTGATGAAGATCCAAACTTCAGCTTATTTTTAGCGTCGTTTTGTTTTATGTATATGTATTGCAATCGTTCATCTTTATTATCGTTTACCCGCGGTAATAATAATAAAGATTCGACAGCTTCCTGACCGACTTGAGGAACTGCACAGAAATGGAGAGATGCAGCTCAGCAACTGCGCCTGCGTTAAACTGGCTCTTGGGTGTGTCTCTGATTTAACTGACTGGTTAACAAATTGTTAAATCAGATATTGTATTCCTGTTTTTATAAAAACAATGCGATTTATTTTACATTAATAACGCCTTGTCAAATATCGATTGACAATTAATGGATTTTCTGGTACAATTATCTATCTGAAACTAAAGTAACAATAATCAATAAAATACCTTATATAATGATGACGTGTCAGGCAATTGAAATGTATTCGCTAACTGTTAGCACACCTATTTAAATCAATACCTATGTAATGTGTTATCAACGTTCCAAAGAGCACCTCTTATTAGTCAAAGAGTTTCAGATTTTTTTAATGTCTCGAGCCTATATGTCTTTTTCGTTTAAAGTGAATCTGCGATGCACAAGACCAGACGGACTTAAGTAATTCTAAGTAGCATGTTTCTTATAATTTTTCATCTGGATTGTCGTCTAAGTTTTTACTTGATAAATTCGATTTAATAAACATTTTCAGACAAAGCTGTACCCATGTCGGAAGCACTGGTTTATATTATACCAAATACCGCATAATAGACCCAAATTCGAAGAAGATCAGCATATCTCTCTGTCGTTTTGTAAGTATCTGAATATATCCCTTTCCCAAAGACTGTCAGTACCTGGCGAAATACTCTGCCCCTCCAAATTGCTGTGTATTTCGAATACCCCTTACCTTACCATTTCTGGCATACGGGAGGGGGTTGTTCTAGAGGTACAACCAAACCTACTCTTACCAGAGTGGGAAGGTCAAAATTCATTCCGTTAGTCCGCCACACAATAATTTTCAACCCACTCAGTCCGGATTCGAATTGGCTTCGCTAGACTCAAAAATGTAACGTTTACCTTTATAACACATATGTCGATAACAAATGTTTGCAATCTGTTAATAATGACCCTTTAATTGCTTCCGAAAGTCTTATAACAAGCCTTGAAGAATGGTGTAAAAATTGGAGAATAAGAATAAATTCCAATAAATCCTATCAAATCACCTATCAAATACCCTCCGTCGTAAACCTATGACTCCCTGTCCTATGGTATCCTTCAATACTGTTTTACAATGTTTCTTCATAATCCCCGATTTTTTAAAAAGTAATAGTAACCCTCCACCCCCACCCCACTCATATTGAAGGGGAGCTTTTGATATTCAATGGACCGTTAATGGCCTATGAGAAACTTGTATACGAACTATCATCAAAATTCGCCTTTTCATTCGAAACAGCCAATAAAAACATCTTCCAAACGGAGCTGATTAGCTTTGATTAATAAATAAAACAAACTTAAATTGGTGATATTAACATTAAATTAATTTGTAATAAATCCTTGATCATCGATTTTCTAACTAAAGGAACGTCTTACAGGGATTGTTCCTAATTCTTCCCTTCTTCTGTTTCTTCTTTTTATAACATTTCTCGCTTATCCTGAGCAATACGTTTATACAGAAAATCCAATAAAACATTCGATATCACAAACCATTTTTGTATTTCTGTTTTTCGCACTCTTTCATTTTCAGTTAATAAACTATGTGCTTGTCGAAAACTGTTGTTGTTAAATACCGTCCGGTCGAGAATGTATTAATTTATCAGTAGTAGAGGAGATTGGGTACGGTTGTGACAATTTTCATTTAATCGTCCTTAATATTGTTAGTATACAAATTAGATGGAAATAATGTGTTTTTTATAGTAAAGTGTACAGTTGATAACGAATAAATACTAAAATTTTGTCCGTATGTACACAAGTTATCTCCACTAGCGGATCCATGATTTAATTTGGGGAGGGGAGGAGGCTTTAGCCAGTCAGCATTTTATTTCATATATATATATATATATATATATATATATATATATATATATATAAAACGATAGTTAATTTAATTAAAAAAAGAAAGAAACTAACTACCTATACGAAATGGTGTTTACATGATTCTTGAAGTCCTATTAAATGTAATTACATGAACAATAATACTTCTTTTTTTTGGTCCTTTCACCGTTAAGGCTATACGGGATTTTCCCTGGCCAGGGAGTGTGGGCGGGGATTTAAAAGACTCCCCCGGCACCGGGATGCGAACTCGTGACTATTTTTATATCTTTGATTCATATATCTGGTTGCCGGTCAACGGCGGTGCAGTGCACACGCTTTAGCCCATTCGGCCACCCCGCCCACAAATGAACAATAATACTTTAATAGATAATTTTTAATATTTGTTTCCATAAAACATGGTTATATTTTACCATTTTGGGAGGGGATTCAACCTGAAAGCCTTCCCCCCGTAGATCCGCCTGTGGTTATCTAATAGCCGCAAATTAGAAAAAAAAGAAAAAGAAAATGTCACAATCGATCCCACCCCAAGGACGGTTGTGACAGTGCTTGGGATCGGCAGTGGCAGGTTCAAAAAATACAACAAAATAGTCTAAAATCACTTTTATTGTATAAAAAAATAAATAAAATCTAGAAACAATTTAATCGCTTCTAAGTAATAAGGAATAAACTTTGCGCAAGAATCAACTTTCGGTCTTCCTCGAGCGTTTTCTAGATATCTAAAAAAAAAAAAAACAGTAAAATAAATTATTTGCCTCATGGCCTTACCCAGAAAATATGGCACAACCGTACTCAACGCACTCCTTCGCAAAAAAACAGTCCCCTCGGCAATATAAAACTATCTACGCACAAAGGAATCACTGCTAATTAACAAATAATGTTGAACTTATAACGAGGAAAAACATTACTCTATCTGTACATATATAATTATTCAAAGGAATAGAATAAAAATAGTCACTTTTGTCTGTTAAAAAATAATGACGGCCTCTACTAGCGTTAATGTCACGCGATGCTTTAGCAACACTTAGATAAGTCTAGACAGGCACAACATCCCTGTTTTCTCTGTAAACCTATCGGCGATTCCTTATAATTTCGCTAATATGATGAATATCACAGCCGTACCCTGGCACAATATCATATCATAGAGCCAAAAAAGAAAGAAATAGGGCAAGTGAGGCTCTACTACTACATTCCTGTATTGCTGAAAAGCATTGGAGAAAGTTTTTCAATGAAGGGGATCGAGTTCCCATGAACGTGCCGAGTAAGGAAGCTGTGGCAGAGTTCCGGATGATAACCGGAAGCACCTTAGGAAGCACCTGCATAGAATAGGAGTGGCAGAATCTCCATATTGTAACCTATGTGATTCGGGATCACATATGGACGCAGCGCATTTAGGTGTACGCTAGATCTTAGTGAACATAAGAGATTCCACGTTGTCCAAACCGGAGGTACTAAGCTGCAAAATCTCTGATGGCGGAAGCCTATGAAGAGAGGCATAACTAAAAAACAATAACAATACCAAAGCCGGGTTACATTATCGTAATGGATGGTTTTCCTTTGATCAAACGTCCCAAAACATACAAATATATCAATGGCAGCCGGAACCGGGCATCGATGGCCGATTAACCAGTAAAGGTATGTAGTAGATATGGTTTTCTTCGTAAAGTTTGGATGATTGCAATAATAAAACCATAAATGTGAATTAAGAGACACCGACACATTCACGTTTAAAACTTTCAATTTAATAATTATTCTAAATGTTTGTTAACGATACTACTATATTAGATCACCTTTTTTACAATAGTTTCCGTTAATTCTTGGATAAAATCTTGAGTCTTTATATTTTTAACCGTGTTCAATTTATTCATGATGTATTTAATTCATTGAACTTTTCATAAATGTTTCCGTTTAATTTTAGATGTTCGATGTGTTGCAATCTCTTATGGTTGTTTCTTTCGCATTGGTATAAACTTAGTTTCAATTAGAATATAGCAATTTGCAATACTTCTATTTATGTTTTGTATAGTAGATGTCTATCGTTGCCTATAACATGGATGTATCAATCACTTAATACTTCAGTCCAAAATTAAGAATTAACTTAACGTCTATTTCCTCTCTCTTGCTAAATTTTATACTCGTTTAAGTTAATATGAGTTAAATTAGAACCTTGATCAATTTTCAATTTACTGTGATTTGAGTAAAATATTATTAGTTTAAATATTTCAACTATGTCTTAATAATAGTGAACCTTGGAAAATATATACAGGGTGTCTCAGTTCTTAATTTGTCTCAGTTAATGGCTAAACTCGGGGAGGTGAATCTATGCAACCGTTTCAGAAAAAAATTTCATTTGCTGTATGGACAGATTCTGAACGGAAAAGGAGTAGAGACCAATTTTGTCTTTTCTTACGGTACTCACGTTTTCTCATTCATAGGAAGCGATAAAACAGAAATTATTTAATACAGATGATTTGCTTCATAGTAAACTATACAAAATCTCCTTCAAATAGAAGTAGTGTGTGGCTCAAATAAATTGATATGCAATTAAAGCTAATTAAACAAGGACGTTTTTATAAAAGTGTGTTATCTGTTGGATGATTAAAAAAACTTCACGAATAATCCAAGATTTAATGAAAAACACAACTTTCGCCTAAAACACAATTTTTGCCGCTAAAAAGATAACACTACTTGTATTTGGAGGAAATTTAATGTAGTTTACTACACAGCAAATTTTAATTACCTGAATTAAATCATTTTTGTTTTTTCGCTTCATAAGAAAGAGAAACCACCTTAAGAAAAGACAAAATTTGGTCTGCAATTACCTCCAAGAGTTTGGCCATTAGAACTAAGACACCCTATATATAGAAGAAAATATGAATACATATTATTAGTCATAATATAATCTAAGTATATGAATATCTTATTAGTCATAATATAATCTAAGTATATGAATATCACCTTATTTATTTTTTATTTTTCAGTTATTCCGACATTCTTTTCTGGCCCAGTATTCGATTTACGATATTGCTGCAACGTAAGTATATTAACTGAGAGGCTTAAATATTTTCTCTATATAAAATCAAATAATAGTTTTTTTTTCTAGTTATTTTACTATAAAAGTAGGCCATCAGAAATAAATGCTGCCACAGTTGTTGCAATAAAAAAAAAATGGTCTTTAAAAAATTTCTTGAAATCGTACAATTATAAAATTTATTAAGAATAACATTATATATTTTGGTAAAATATGAACCAATAGAATGTATTAGAATACAGGACTGCTCGAATGTCAGTGGCGTCACTTTACATATAAAAACACCTTCGATTCCAGAAAGATTAAGTCGGGATTTCAACTTCATTATATGAAATTCATTCATTCAGAAATAACTAGTAAAAACTTTCTCCATGGCCACAATTTTAGCTACCAAGAACGGCAATGCAATTTTTATTTAATTTTTCAATTAAGACATTTAATAACTATAATAATGTTAAATAGTTTAAATAATACCTTTACAGAGACTTGTTCCCACTGCAGATTGCGAATGAGTTAGAAGATCATCCATTTCTTTTATGCGCTGAATGGGCTCCGCAGGGGCATGCTCTTGTTATCATTTACGACTACGATATCTATTATCGTCAACATCCTAGGATTGGAATTGCTGTGAGAGTATCCGCTACTGCCGTCCCTGGAGTTGTCTTTAATGGAGTACCGGACTGGTTGTATGAAGGTAATTTAATCTATATACCAACACAGGGTATATAGATTTATAGTTAACCCACCAACCCAAGTTATCACTTCTAATCTAACAATCGAAATGCTCATTTATAATTTAAAAATTAGTTTTCATACTTCAGCAATAACCTTTTAATCACAGGCAACAAAACTTTTTCCAATTCTTTATTATTACCATTATTATTATTAGATGGCGTTACGACCCAGGGGTGCCCATCACCCCCTCCCCCTCTCCAAAATCGATGGCGCAAGAACCTACTCCACCCAATCCCAAGATATTTTATTGCTCATATTGTCTTAAAAACAGAGCAAGCGAAGGTAGAATTAAAAAAAAAAGTAGATCATATTAAATTATACTTGCTGCGGTCTGTTCCAAGTATTCTCCTGGTTCCATAGTTGGAACATTCTGAAAATTCAACCCCGCCGAAATGTGCCCCCTCAAATATTCAAAAACCCACCAAGATATGGCGCCCTCAAAAATTTTGATTGCGCAAGCTGCTCTTCTGAGCACTCCTGTTACGACCCACTTATTTAGTCAAAGCCTGCTCTATTATAGATCGCCATTCCTCTCTGTTCCGTCCCGCTGCCTTCCAGTTCTGACAATGAAGCCCATTCTTTATTAGCTGAGAAAAAATCCTTTATTGAATCAGTTATAAGCGATCAGAAAGAGTGCTATACCTCTGTAATTACCATATTAATGCATGAACCCCTTCTCTAGGATAGGAGAAATTAGATATATCTTTCAAGCCCTTCGTATCCTTTCCTCTTCCCTTTTTTTAATAGATTAGTCAAAATAGCTTGGTTCTCAGATGCTCTTCTAGATCCTCATTCTACGCCCTAAATAAACAAAGAAGGCAGGCGTATTATAAGCTATGTTCCATCATTTTTCGAGTAAATGATTTAGATGAAGATCTGGTAAAGTATCCTCCTTCTACTAAATCCTGCATTATGATGGCCTATCATATTTTCTTAAAAACGATATCTAATTTAGGAGGATCGGATAGCGCTAAAACATGGAAACCCTTCTAAAATCCATCATTCTTTTAGCATTTACAGCTTCAGTTCATGGTTTATGGGGTAACAAAAGAGAGGACAACTATGCTGTCTTAGTCCAAACCCTCCTTGAGAAGTACAGAGATCTCGTTCGTAAACACTCAAGATTCATTTTCTTCACTTTCATTTGGACTTCTTTCCCGAAAATTGTGGATCTGTAAGTGACGAACATGGTGAGCGATTTCACTATGATATATCCTCAATGGAACGAAGATATCAAGGCCAGTGGGATACTTCAATGCTCGTAGGCTACTATTGGAACATAGTGAGGGATTTGCCAGAACATCAGTACCATCGTCAAGTAAAGAAGAAACGTTCTAAATAAACTGTACAGCAGCACTGTTCTTACCGAAAGAAGATGTAATTTAATGTTTTGTGGGTTGTAAAAGTATTTCACAAATAATAAAAAAGCACTTTTAAAGTCCAATAAATGATTGTGTAACTTCCAAAAACTAATTTTTTTGTATACGATACTGGGTATACGTACCTGCAGAACGGTAGCTATGTAAGGATTCTGACAGAAAATTCGAGTTTCTCACTTCAAAATTAGTCAAGAGAAACAGTTTTCATCGAAGACACAATAAAAAAAAATTTTTTATAGGGCAGTGTAATCAGTGCCGTTAATAAAATATTTAAATCATTCAGTACCAGCTGAAGTCATCGAAGAAGAGCTGAGGATTCACAGAGAAGGTTAAAAGAGCGCCAAATAAATATAAAACAAAGCCAAATATTATAAATAGAATCGCTGCCCCCTTTTTTCTAGAACACACACATTAGGGAAAATAGGATGAATATAATAAATCTTGAGAGTGAATCAAACCAAGGAACAACCTGCAAGATAGGGACATTGGAAAAATTTTCAGCAATATAAAAAGGCCTGCCTAATTTACAAAAATCTCAAATTAAAATATCAGAAACCGAGCTAGCAAACCTTTTGAAATCGTTGACTCGTCTTTGTACTTCGCTTTTCAACTCCTAGGTATTTGGGTCCAAAGCAATAGAGTCCCTACTGATACTAATAACCTTATTAGTTAATTGAAGTATACGCGTTTATTAAGAATTCGAACACACGTTACCCCTATGATATGGCTTCCTAGAAAGTTCGTATGCGTTTTATCCTTCCTTTAATGAATCATTAAATGGAACTATCAGACTCTTAAATTTTGTATGCTATCAAAACATACATTTAATTTACTGGGCCTTATACTGTCAATTGGGGAACTGTTGTGTTTATCTATTTGTGATATGAACTTTCATCATTTAAGGATACGTACAACTATTTTGTTCAAGTAGCTATTTATTAAAGAAATCAGGCAATTTGCATTTACAAGCTTAAAAAGATGAGCTTTGTGCCATATTCGATTGAACGTTTTATTGACATTAATTATGGCCAGTCTCATCACTTATTTCCGCTCCTGCTTATGATTACAAGTAACCCTATAGTAATCATGATGTTTACCTTTCCGGTCACACCTGTATCAGTGTAGTGTCCTGAACAATCAATTTCTCACGGTCATTTTGGATCCACTTTTAATTACTTAGGAGATAACTTCGTTTTTGGTGCCAATTTAACCGCTAAACATAATCATAGGGTTTCCTGCCTGACCACGCTATAAAAGTAGAATTATTTATATCGCCTGCCCTACTCTTCTTCGTTCTTTTACTTCTTGAATACATATAGCATTTCCAAGTCTAATTTAGAATTTTCCAAACCAAATTACGATTTTTTCAAATCAAATTTAGAACTTTTCAAACCAAATTGGGATTTTTGCAAACTAAGTTTAGAATTTTCTATTTCAAATTGAGATTTTTCCAAGTCAATTTAAGAATTTTTATAACACCAACTGGATGAGGTATTTTATTTTTTTTTTATTTGATTCCATAGACGCAATACCTATTATGAATAATAAGGTTATGCATTACAGTATTTACAGACGAATTTAAGAAATTTTCAAATTAAAGTTAAAATTTTCTACATATACATATATATACATATACATATATACATGTATGTAAGTATATATATATATGTAAGTATATATACATATACATACTTACAATTATTATTTTATAAAATACAATTTAGTAGTGCAGCGGGTTCCCATCCCGGCTGCTGTCAGCTGCATGCATTGCCATAAACCAGTTGGCGCAATCTGCATTTATTGTGGATACAACTTCTGAAATTAATTCGGTAAAATTATGCTCTCCTGGTTCACTCAGACTATTCCTCATTCTGATTTTTATTTTGGTGAAAGCTCTCTCTGCCGGATTCAGAGGACCATAGTAGACAGAAAGATACCTCAAGATGGGACCAAGTTCATCTTTTGTTTTACTTCTTTGGCTCGAAGAATCCGTACATTTTCCATCACCAAACACTTTGTACAGTATCAGTAATCTTCTCGTGGAGTTCTGACAAGAAATCATTGAACCGAACAGTCATCAACGTATATGTTACTTTTCAGGGTATCAGCGGCTTCTGGATATAATGGGCCTTTATCTGCTATATACTGATGTAATACACGAATTGTTAGGAATGGAGACCACGATAACTCCGCAATTGGTTTGGATACATCCGCGGGATAGAGAAAATGTTGATATGGTATTTCCTTTTTGTGCATTAATATCTGCAGAAACATCTGACATATATCTGAGGCAATTACAATGGGGTAACACCTAAAATTAAGGTGCACCTAATTTATTTGTTTTGTATTTTTAAGAATTTTAGTGTCAAAATTACACATTTTGATGTAGAAAATGTTAACCTTTAATTTGAAAATTTATAAAATTTATATTTAAATACAATAAAGACAAGAACTCAACCGACGATACGGCCAACTATACCGACTACTAAGCAGAAAATCTAAACTTTCCATTGAAAACAAGCTACTGATCTACAAGACAATACTGAAACCTATTTGGACTTACGGACTAGAACTGTGGGGATCAGCAAAATTTTCTAACATCAAGCGCATCCAATCCTTCCAGTCTAAAGTCCTTCGAACAATAGTCGATGCTCCTTTCTATGTATCCAACAAAACCCTACATCATGACCTTAACATCCCATTTGTCCTAGACCTTATCCCAGAAAAATTCTCCAAATTTCACCAGAACCTTACTTACCACCCAAATCCTCTTGCACAATCCCTATCAAGCATCTCCCATCCCTATAATCCTCCAAGAAGGTTGAAACGGCAGTGGCCTCGCGACCTTTTGTAGATTATATAAATTGGAGTTCTGGCAATGGCCAGATTCTTCACTCAAGACATGTGTGTATGTGGCTAAAGTGCTCTCGACCAATCTCCGCTGGCTTTAGTACCAGTGACGCAGTTGGAAGAGTAGCGCAGGGTTCTCCTGGAGTTCCCTCGCCTGATTGTATATAGGTATGCATGTTATTATTCTTTTTTTTCCTTAGTTTTAATTTTCTTATTTTTTAGGTTATTTTATTTTATTGTCTATTGTATATACTTTTGATTATTATTTTGTTCTATTTATTTTATTTTTTTGTACATATGGTGTGAATGTCATCCTACCTCACTATAACCAATGTCCAACAGACAGATTGTTATAATACTCAATAAAAAAAAAAAAAAAAAAAAATACAATAATGCCGAAATGGAAAATTCTAAATTTGGTTTGCAGAAATCCCAATTCGGTTTATAAATTTCTAAATTTGATTTGAAAAAATCCCGATTTGGTTTGGAAATTTTTAAATTTGATTTGAAAAATTCTAATTTGCTTTGGAAAATTCTAAATCAGACTTGGAAATGCTATGTATAAAGATCTAGCAGTATAATCTATTTTTTATAGGTGGCAGATCGTAATATTCACAAATCAGAAATGATTCATAATTTATTTTAAATGTATTTAGATCAAAAAGTCAGCAATAAACAGGTCGATAAACTGGATGATGGGCTAGTTTTCCTCAAACCATCGAATAATTCAATACAGTCCTGCTTTGTGAAAAGAACGCAGTATCTTCCTAAGTCATTAAGTTTTCTTATCGCTGTAATAATTTTTCTTTCTGCAATAATTGTCTTCATTTTACTGTCTTAAAATGCAATGTAGTTAGTCTTAGGAAATGGTGAACTTATTAACTTGTGATATAATTGGTTAGTAAGATACTGCAATCTTACCAAGCCAGGCAGTGTTTATATGTGAAAATAATGTTTTGATACACAAATCCAACTTTCTAAAATTTTAAGATTATATATTTTATGACCGCATCATAGCCAGTAATATATTACAAAGTATAAATATTATAACAAGTATAAAACGTTATTGTTTCCCATTCTTGTCCATCTCCAGTTTTACATTATAAATTTAATTTCACAACCATTATTTAAATGACAAAACTATTAAAATTTTTAATATTTTACAGCCACACGACTCTTGTGACGAACGTTATCCATTTTGCCAAAAAGAGCCATATTTTTCGAAGTTGGTTTCTCCCTAACAAAGAGCATGTAAGGAAGTATATTACTCTCTGCCTCCTGGATATCACCAATTTCATTAGATAATGATAGCCACTCAATTTCCATCACTGAAAAAGTTAAAAAGCTTTGCACAATGAGGTCATATTTTTGTTTGTATCTATAGAAGAAATCCTGTCAGACCGGAAAGCTTTCTGGATGTCTGCAGATGGTCACATGCTTCTATATGCTTCGTTCAACGATAGTCTCGTGGAAGAGTATAAGTTCTCCTGGTATGGTGTAGGAACCAATAGCCAGCAGCTTTACCCACAAATCAGGAGTCTCAGATACCCTAAGGTTCGCACATTGTTCTTATCTCGATTGTCACATTTCAATGAAAGTGAATTATACATTTAGACCATCAATAATATAGCTTATAGAAAGTGTCTGATTAAATTCAGGCTGGTACTACAAATCCTCAAGTGAAGCTTTACGTTTCTGATCTGGCAGACATAAAGAATATAAAAACCAGGGATCTTAGACCACCGATGGCTCTTGATGCAAAGTAAGTACAATATTATATTCATTTTTTTATATCTCTTTGTACTGAACCGAAATTAGAATGTGTTACGTTTGTATCTGTATAGGTTTTGATACCATTAAATCTGGTTCGATTTTATAGAGATCACTACTTTGTTGCTGTTACGTGGGTAAGCTCAACTGAGGTTGCTGTTGTCTGGATGAACAGAACACAAAATCAGGCTATGGTCACACTCTGCAAAACACCCATGTGGCTCTGCCAAGAGGTGAGAAACGTCCTTGAATCAAAACGACCATTTATACATTTATTTTCTGTCGCATAATTTAACCTGTTATTAGTCCACCTGGCTAATACCTTGCCTTAATGGCCGTTTCATTGGCTTCTTTTATACCAATTGTAATTATTTAAGCTAATCTCGATAATACAAGAATAAATAAAATATTGAGAAAATAATTGACTTCAATAATGAAATTCTATGTTTCCTTTTATACTAACTCAAGTTAATGTTCAGTTTTGCACAATTTATTCTGTGTATGTTATTGAAAGAAATTATCTCAGAAAATACCAGAGGTGAATAGGAGAGAAACCTCGGAAAATAATGAGAATACTCTGGGCAAAGGAAAGTGATATATACTAGAGCTAATGGATGATAAAGAACTAATTAGTAAAATTACGGTGTACATTACAAAAATGTTTAATAATAGTACTTAATTTATTCTGGAAGGAGTCGCTTTAGTATATTACACAGAGGCGGAAATGTGGGCTTTGAAGCCTGATGTAAAAATAAGAGTAATTGCAAAGTAAACAAATAAACACAATAAGAAAAACTATGGTAACATTTTAAAAATTTAGTAAATCGCTCGAACACGAGGTTACTACAACATTTATTCCATGAGTTATTTCTCTCAGAAAGCTTATTTCCCAACTCAAGGGTCATATATAGAACAAGCATTTTTTTTTTCATCACAAGCCATTGCTCGCGGTAGTTAGTAAGAGGTCTCAATGTGGTCCGCGAGCCAAAACGTTTGGAGATCCATATATATCTACTACCGCTTGGATCATTCTTATCAAAGTGGTGTAATGGTGTAATTGTTTTGTTAATGAAAGTCTTGTTATGCATCACACCAGTTTTATTAAGACTAGAATCGCTTTAAATAACTTCGAAAATATTGCTTCTTTTGTCATGGGAGTGGTCTCATACGATAAAAATAAATGATACCTTACTCGACTTGCTATATGCCACTTGCTACATATTTGGCAATTTCTCCTAGTTTTAAAACACAATGTCTTATTTCAGGGTTCATTATAACTTATAAATATATTCAATTCGGTATATTTTAAAGATAATATATATCTTTATTTATTTAAATATAAATAATTGAAAATTTTATTTATTTAACAGACTCAAAGATACAGTGATATGAAAGGTTGGGTGGATACGCCTGGACCACCAATCTTCTCTCCGGATGGCAACACCTACTTGACATTGAGCCCAGTGAGAGACGGAAATTCAGGCTTCTTCAGGCACGTTGTTTCAGTAAATATACCAAAAAAGAGAAACATCCCTCTCACTCACGGGCCTTTCTCGGTCTCAAAAATCCTTGCCTGGGCCAATGATAGGGTGTAAGTACATTAATGTTTATTGCTACATGCTATTTTATAATAAAACGATGAATTTATAAAAGGTTATTAATGATTGGTAATCACACAAATTAAATAGCTGTTTTTAAAGTCTTTTCTGTTATTTAGGGGACATCTTGTATCTTTACATTCAACCACATTATTAATAAGGTATAATTTCCTAGGTATTTTTTGGCAGTTCCTGAAGAAGCTACAGGACAGATGCACCTTTACTACTCAAGTTCAAAAGAAGCTGGTGTCGAAAAAATATGCCTTAGTTGTCCTTCAAGACCAGGACCCAAAGCGGAACTTCATAAAACTCACGGAGCTGGTGGAGCTGACTCAGATCAAGCCCACAAAAAGAAGAAAGAGGAAGAGCGTAAGTTTCATCTAGTTCTTGGCTGTTGGCCCAACTTAACAGAATGATGGATTGTCGCTCTCTCTGATTTTTCAATAAAATGTTCCTAAACATTTTAAGGACCTAACAGTATTTAATTAAACGTAACATCGTTTAAACTTTCACCATCAAACATTCCATTATTTCATTATATATATATATATATATATATATATATATATATATATATATATAAAAAACCTGTACCACTACAACCCATGAAGGATCTGGGGTTCAGTAATAATTAGGGAAAGCACTGTTTCTAGGTCAACGGTTGTGCAAGGAGGTGATTTGACCGAGATCACGCTCAACCGCCAGGTTTTCCCCCTTAACTAATTATTTAATTAAGGGTACCCACTTTATAGAGGCTGGGTGTGCCCCAGGAGGGACTTTCTGACCCAAGGTCGCCCCACGGCCAATGAAACAGATAAATAAATTTTCTGCCATGAGCCGGGATTCGAACTCGGGACCTTTGCATTGGAAGCTCAGTGCCCTACCACTGAGCTACCCCGCTCCCCATATACCTACAATAGCTACCCCGTTTTTTTCTCTAGTATATCTATAGGGAGGGGGGTAGCTCATTGGTAGGGCACTGAGCTTCCAATGCAAAGGTCCCAGGTTCGAACCCCGGCTAAGGCAGAAAATGTATTTATCTGTATCATTGGCCGTGGGGCGACCCTGGGTCGGCAGACCCTCCTGGGCACACCCAGCCTCTATAAAGTGGGTACCTTTAATTAAATAATTAATTAAGGGGGAAAACCTGGCGGTTGAGCGTGATCTCGGTCAAATCACCTCCTTGCACAACCGTTGACCTATATATAACCGTTAGATGCCACACAACCCATATATATATATATAATAATTATTATTATTATTTCATAGTAATATATATTATTTCTATTGTAACTACTATTTCTATTGTTTTATAATAATAACTATTTTTTTAAATCTATTAAAAAATTAATAACTTTTTATTTCTATTGTACTATATATTATTTCATTGTAATGTAAACTTCTCTTACTGTCCAGACATTTTGCTGAACATCGGAACATTTCAGAGCTCAAACTCACTTAAAAGTACTGACAATGTACGGGAAGAAACATTTCTAAAAAAAATAATAAATAAATAAATAAAAAGTATAAGGATGTAGTATACAGTTGACCACAACATCCTCCTTACGAAATTACAGAATCTTCCTCTATCCAACAGTGCCCTGCGTTGGTTTAAATCATTCCATTCCGATCGATCCCAGTATGTAGTCGTCCCAGATCAACCTCCTTCAAAGCCCCCTCACCTGTGGTGTCCCTCAGGGTTCCTCCTTATCTCCTACTCTATTTGCTATTTACATTAATGACCTTCCCCTCCTGATCCATCACTCCCAATACCACATCTATGCTGACGATTTCCAAATATAGCTGCCCTTCCCCCTTGTGACCTATTAGCCGCCACAAAAAAGCTTCATGAAGATTTGAATAGAATATATGACTGGGCAGGAGCTAACAAGCTGAAGTTGAATGCGGAAAAGACCAAGGCAATCCTAATAGGCTCCAATCACCTCCTCAAAACTGTTCCTAACATTCCAACCCTGTTCCTGCATGACAATCCTATTAAATTTTACCCCACCATCAAAAACCTTGGAATAATCTTTGATCAAACCCTTTCCTGGAAAAACCATGTATCCAATATCTCCCGAGGTACCTTTCCACTCTAAAACACTTAAATAGCCTGCGACGACTTTTTCCTTTTGAAATCCGTAGACTCCTGGTCACATCTTTAGTATTTCCCACTTCGACTATTGCTGCACGGTATATGGAGGCGTCTCAGGAGATCTCGAGGCGAAACTAAAACGTTTGATAATTTGCTTTGCGTTCGGGATCCCGCAATTATTTATTTATTGTTCTTCTTAATCGATTTAACCTAGAAGATAACTTTTTTTTTTTTTTTTCTCTAGTATATCTATAGGGAGGGGGGTAGCTCATTGGTAGGGCACTGAGCTTCCAATGCAAAGGTCCCAGGTTCGAACCCCGGCTAAGGCAGAAAATGTATTTATCTGTATCATTGGCCGTGGGGCGACCCTGGGTCGGCAGACCCTCCTGGGCACACCCAGCCTCTATAAAGTGGGTACCTTTAATTAAATAATTAATTAAGGGGGAAAACCTGGCGGTTGAGCGTGATCTCGGTCAAATCACCTCCTTGCACAACCGTTGACCTAGAAACAGTGCTTTCCCTAAATAGTACTGAACCCCAGACCCTTAATGGGTTGTATTGGTACTTGGTTTTTTTTTTTTTTTTCTAGTATATCTATTAGTTACCTTGTAAATACATTTATATATACCTGAGGCTCAAAAGTCCACAGTTATGTCCTTGTTAATTATTCTAAAGGGATTCGTCTCAGAATAAATAAAAGATTATTATTATTATTATGTGCTTATATGCGCCAGTGATGTGACACTGACAGCTGTGATGACGTGGGGGGAGTCAGTGCACTCTTTAGCCGTTAGTAATTGGGAACACATTTAATATGTGACATCACATCAAGCGAACAGACTGTTGGGCAATGTATTAAATTATTTCGCTAGCGATCTCTATATGCATATATCAGGAAAATAAAAAATCACTGTGTATGTTCATTGATTTATTTTTGCTTCCTCACTACCTGTATTATTGCTTTGTATTCGTGCGGGAGGTTAAAAAAAATTGTGTGCTCAGTATCAAAAATTTTCACTCGCGTTTTACACTTCGGATTTGAAGGATCAAATTTGGTTCGGTGTCTGTCTGTCTTTAGTCAAATCGATGTGACGAGCATATCAGCTACTATCGTTTGTACGGTTTTCATGAAATTTTCAGGGATTGTGCAAGTTGGTGCCATTTCATTAAATTCCATTTCGTATCAATCCATATTTTCTAAGATATGCCAATATTTCGGAAACGGCAGGTTCGATTTGGCTCAAAGTTGATTGAAAGGTGGGTTATGGTAAAATAATGACGCAGCATCGATTTTATGGAATTCCGTCTTCGTATCGTATTTTCTTTGGAAGGCCTTAATCTGAAAAACCACACATTTGATTTACCCTAAATTTGAAGAGAAGTTAGGGATTGATAATTAAATTTATTCACAAAAGAAAAATTATTGACCTGAAGACATAGGTAAGCATGGCACCTGTGAAAATGGTGAGGAAGTTAAACTGGCCTCACTTGGCAGACATATTTGTAAATATTTTCCAGCTGTTTTCTAAAAATGAAAGGAAAAATTTGATTTATAAAACGGCGTAGTTTTATAATTTTTATTTTTTATTTAGCCACTTTTGAAAATGATCTTGCTAGAAGTGCAATATTTTTGTACTAAATCATTTCAGAATTGTTAAAAAAAACTTTACCTCTGTATTAAATTGCATTAATTCATTTTTGTGAGATACCAAAACATAAAACATATACGGTCTAATGTGTTGTAATCCTCCTCACAATAAATGCACATTTGATGCTTATAACAATTATGGCTATCTCCATTGCTTTCCTTACAAAAACAGGCGCTCATTGCTTACTATTTTTACTTTCACTCACGTATATATGTAATATATAGTAAGGATAAGTATTGCGATCGTGAAAATTTTCGAATCTCAGTTTTCAACGGAAATACATGTTTTGAAGTCCCCTGAGTCCAAATAACCAAGTGTCGCAAAATGGTCTAGGTGTGTGTGTTAACAGTCTAGCTCATACACGAAAAGTAGTACGAAAGTGATATTAAGTATTTAAGGTTTGTATATGAGCCGGATGTGACAGTAACTTTTTCGTTAAAATAGGCTAACCGGAAGTGCCACTATATATGAACGCTGAAAGACATTTTTACAAATTTTCTCAAAAACGGCTCTAACGATTTTGATTAAACTCGGTGTATCATTGTATAATTAAGTGGTCTTTAATATAATTTAGGTTTTATCTCCGTTGATGTCACTTTACAGGGCTTTAATGCCCAATGTTCATATATGTCTTCCTCTAAAGTACCTTTAATATGGTTTATTTTAAAAAGTTAATTATTTAGCTAATCCAGTTAAAAAGTTAAAAAAGTTAATCCAAAGTTACGAAAAAATGCTACATATAACTTTAAAAAGAATTTGATAAGTTAATAAAGGAGAAAAAAATAAAAATGCAGAAAAACCTGCGTTGCTATAGTTGTAGCGCCTAAACGAATGGGTTTTTTAAAGTTAAAGGAATTTAAAAAAAAAAAAAAAAAAAAAAAAGCTCTAAAATCGGACAATCGGAATGATATGGTCTCTAGTTTTTTCCCCTGAAGAGGCGAAAATTTGTATAAATTTAAAATATCCTTTTTTATTTGTTGAGACTAAAAAAACTTTTTTCTACAGATATTTAATAAAGTATCTTACCTCAGAACATCTTTCATAAGAAATAAGTACCTAAATTTATACCTTTATTCTCAGTTCTATATTGCAACACTGCAATCACCACCTCCGGAACCAACTCACTCACTGTCTGCATAGATAACTTTTTCAACTAAAAATATCACTAAATTGACATTACTGAAAAATGTTGAAATTTGTGAAGAAAGTTGTGTGGTTTATAAAAGCAGATGGAGTGACTAGATTTTATTGCCTACCGTCGAAATATTAAATAGACATTTTGTAATTATAATGGTCTTAATGACGTGTTATCTGTAAGCTTTAAGCTTTAGCTCCGTTTAAAATGCACTTCAAAACATTTTATAATAGCCCATCATTGCCAGAAAGTAATTTCTATTCAAAGTAGAGCGGTAAGAGAAAGTTTTGTGTTGGGCGCACCAGATTTTTTATTAAACATAGAGTGACAAAATCTAAAGAATTATTGGATTTGATGGATACTGTTGAACACATAGGGTGTCCAAGCCAATTTCTGAGGTAAAGATCCTCACAGGAACTATTCCTTGGAAAGAAATTAAATGAAACCTTATTTCCGTTATAATGAGCCATCCACAGGTAGGTGAAGCTGTTTGTTGACCCATAATCTCCAACGTCTAATATAAGATACTCACATTACGTCATCATGAAATCCTGCAATCCATTATTGAATCTGGGCTTGATTATGTCTTATTCTCCATTCATTGTTTTCCTTGACTATTTGATGGGCCATATATCTTTCAATGTACCTTTCTTTCGAAAAATAGTAGTTTGGTATATCTGCCTTCATCATCGTGTATATTTCAGATCCATTTGTCAGAATCGGCCGTTTGAGTAATTTATAGTGGAGCAGATTGGACATTGTGGATAGCTGTAGTAGCGAAAGAATTTTCTTAAGATCCAAAAAACCATGAACGTTCTCTCTTCCATGTCATTTTCCCCAATCACTACGGATCCTAAATATTAGGACCTGACAACTTCCAATTTGATCCAAGCAACCATTTTAATTGATCGGACTATTTAAATGGTTACCAGTTATCATATACTTCTTAGTATTTTCCTTTTTTGACATCAAGCTTCTGCCATAGCCATAGAGGATTTTCCAATAATATTTATATGTGAGTAATAATATTTAAATAATTTCTTAATCATATTAAATATATTAGTATATTTTGAACAGATCGATTCCCTTATAGAAATATGTGAAAAAAATATAGTATCATACATATTAATTTTTTTTTTATTATTGAAATTTACAACTGTATAATGATAAATACAACTAGTAATTATGAAATAAGTAACTTGACATGTGCAACATGAAGAGAAACTACCCATTGGTAGCACTCCAATTATATTTCTATATTAGAACGTTCCGAGGCCATCTTCTTTTCAGACGCCTCGGAGGGTTATCAGGAATAGAAGAGGAAACAAGGTTGGAAACAAGAGGGCTCGGATGGTTCAGAAGTTTATTATGGAAGGATAGGTATCTGGATTGTGCTAAATCAGGAACCTTATGGATGATTTTATTTGTGGCAAAGAAGGGAGCATTGAGGATTTTACGAAGGATTTTGGATTGTAGGGATTGGATATCAGAGGAATTTGATGGTTTGGTAGAGCCCCAAAGCTCGATCCCGTAAGTCCAAATAGGCCTTATTATAGTAATATATATGAGTCTTTTCTAAATAGTGGGAAGCTTAGAGCGTTTGTCTAGTAAGTGCTATGGTAATAGTAAGTATGGGGGTTCCAAGTGAGTCGTTTGTCCAGGTGGAGTCCTAGGTATCGGATTTGTTCAACAGAGATAAGTGAGCTATTGTTGAAGCATACTGTAGGGACAGGAAGTCATAGGTTTACGACGAAGAGTAAATGTAATTTGATGGGATTTATTGGAATTTATTTTAATCCTCCAGTTTTGACACCATTTTTCAAGACTTGTGATGTGTGATTGAAGAGTTTGGGATGCAATAGATGGATCGTTATTAACTGATAGGCTACACGTGTCATCGGCATAGGTGGTGATGACAGTGTTGGATTGGGTTGAGATGTCGGCTGTATGAACTGTGTAAAGGATAGGACCTAGGATACTATCTTGAGGAACACCGGCAAACTGAGTAAAAAGAGATGAATAAGCATTGTTATGATTGACTTTGAAGGATCTGTCAGTAAGGTAGGAACGGATAATGAGGAAGTATGTAGGTGGTAGGAATTTACGGAATTTATACATCATTCCCGGATGCCAGACTCTATCAAACGCCTGTTCAACCTCGAGAAAGACTCCCGTGCAGTACATTCCGCGCTCCAATGCAGAGAAGACTATATCTACCACACGATGGTACATATTGAATTAATTAATTAAATATCGATGTTAAATATATAATACTCTTGCACTCTGTTTCTGAAACCTCGTAATCCATGGCATAGGTTACATGACACCCATGACAAAAACAGTTTTTCTAGAATTGGTCTCCATATATTTATAAACAGTAACTTACTCCATGACCAAAGAGTAAAGGAACCGTGAATTTTTTTCAGATCCTGACGAACCTCTTTACAAGGAGTGCCTTTATCACAACGCTATATTCAGTCCAAATGGAGAATTCTATATCTTAGAATGTCTTGGACCGGGTATTCCTACTGTTCATCTCTATAGAACACCTTCTTCACGCTTCAAACCAACCAAGCTCATTACATTACAGAATAACACTAGGCTTTACGTAAGTCTCTTTTTATTAAATCTAGATACATTCTCTTAAAGACATTTTGTAATTTGATTTGAGTTAATTAAATTTAATGACGTCGAATGTATTAGATGGAGAATCCTTAAAACATTGTCTTTTTTTTAAATATTAGTGTAAATTAAAAAAACAAATTCAGTACTTTATAAATGTTTTATTTTTTATTATTCGATTTATTAATGATTCATTGATTTTTTTTTTTTTTTTTTGGCCTACATGTATAAACAGGTGAGAGCTCATATGTTGAATATTTGTGTTTTTTATTGACAATTATAATTTCATATTTATTTATCCAATGATAACACAGTACGCCACACTCAAAATCAATATGTATTAGTGCTAAAGTTATCCATTCATTAAATATATACATACAAGAAAAATATATATTAAATATTTTTTTTTTTGTTCGGTTAGCGCTGCAAACCATGAAGATCTTTGACCGCGAGATATGGTCTCCTTATAAAGGTATATTGCTTGCGGGAGCACAGATAGCCTGGAGGGGGTCACCAAACCTCACGTTGGAACGAATCATGGTCTCCATGGTGCAGTGGCAGGGCACCGGTAGCTCCATAGCCGATCCCTTTGGGGCCAATCTGACAGTGTTCCTCTCACCGACTCACTCGGGTTCAAAGTCAGTGACAAATTGGTCTGAATCCATGGTTTATGACTCTTCAGAGTCAGCAGGCGCACCACGAGCTATATTTCTTTCCCCGAAACGACCGTCCATGGACCAAACCTCAGGGAGGCTACTGACATCCTAGTAGATCACATCCCGATTCCTGATTTAAAGTACTCGGATAGGGTCATCAGTCCTACGCTCGGTCGGTGTGAGTTGCCTCCAGTAGGCTGACGGACCTCACATACCCGGGGGGGGAGAGGATTCTCGGGCAGCGTAGTTTCTCTTGGTGGACGGTCACCCATCTTATCGTATCTTTAAAAAAATATAAAGTTCACTTAAGTGGATCATTGTTGAACCAATTTTTGAAAAAAATATAGCTTCGTAACAGCCAAAGCAAAGGAAACAAATAAAAAATTAATAATCTTCAGGAATACCTAGAAGCTTGCGAAATAAATTTTTGAGCTGCGTCTTTGAGGATTTCAATTGAAGTTACTTAGTTGGTTATTTCCTGCTTATAGAACAGATTAAGATGAAGATAGGTTCATTTCAAACAGATATTGAGGTATCCCAAGTTTTTTTTTTTTTTTTTTTTTTTTTTTTTTTTTTTTTTTTTTTTTTTTTTTTTTTTTTTTTTTTTTTTTTTTTTTTTAGCCTTGGTTTCCCTATGTCGTAAGGAAGAGTTATTGGTAGCTTGAGTTAATTTTTTTTTTCATTCAAGTATACATTAAGTTTGAAAATTGTGTACATCGGCAAAATCATACATACCATCAAATGGTTTCTTACAAAATGGAAAAATGATTATACATAATGATTCCTAATAACCTTATAACCTTTTAATTTCAATTGCATTTGTGGAGTTGATTGAATCATACAGTGTACAGACTCAAGTAAATATCACATGTTTGAGGAAGTTTGAATATGGAGTAGACGGTGGAATAGAAGTTGTTTAAAGGAATTGTGGATGAGGATTGACGTATGGAGGTAAGTAAATATAGCTTAGGTGTAGAGTTACAAAAGGAGGTAGAACGAATGATGAAGGATTTGCTGAAGGAAGTAATTTTATGGAGTTAGATATATGAATCTATAGGTTGAGATATATTGTTGAGAGAGTGGAGAGAGAAACGTAGAGTAAGGAGTTCTAGGATATAGGGAAGGTTTTTGATTTTGAGAACTTTGAAATAAAAAAATAAAAACCAAGAAGGAATTTCCGTTGGGAAGTAAGATAAAGCCACTTCAGCTTGGTGTATCAGAAGGAAACGTGAGAACGTCTGAGAATAAGGATTCCAAAGATGCATATTATAAAGCAGTTCATAAGTCTTCTTAGTCTCATTTCTAGCCTGGCAGACAGCCCTCTATACACCAAACAGCGGAAGTCGAAGTGTGGAAATTCAAGGTTACAAGGAGCTGTCTGATTTTTAGAGGAATACAATCACGGAATCTTAGGAGTTGCTTAAGGACAGTTATGGATTTTTGGGGGAGATATGGCTATTTCAGGACAGGTTATGGTCAAAAGTTACTCCTAAGTTTTTATTTGTAGGGAAAAAATGGGGTGGTTATTGAGGTAAAGTAGATGAGAATAGTCTTAGTTTTATCTGCATTTAGCTTTAACACATTTATTTCTTTACATCTGTTCGGTCGATATTCTCTTGTAGCTTCCGGGTAGCCTCAGGCATTTCAGAAGTTTGAAGGAAAGGAACCATTTTAGGACGATATTTGATGTGGACAGCGTTCGGAGTTTGGAAAGGAGGATCTTATAACTGACGAAATAACAGCCTTTGTAAAAGTCGAAAAAGATTAGGATAGAGATCTTTCGTTTATCTATGGAGGATCGGAGGTCTTAAGTAATATTTAGCAAGGCAGACAGATGGGAATGGAAACCAGATTGTAAAAGTCTGAGAAGGTTTTGCTTGAGAAAATTGTTCAACTGAGAGTGAACTATCCTTTCTAGAGGTTTGGATAGATTGAATAAATGGAGATGGGTCTGAAGTCGGAAGCTAATGAAGGAGCAAGAACTTTGTTCAACAGGAGGACGATGGCTTTTATTTTAGGTTTTGGGACAAATAGAATTTTGGAGAGAGAAATTATATATGTGTGCTCCTGGTGCGGGAAGTAAGGCTGGAAGGCAGAGTTTGATAATTTTAACATATATTTGATTAGTACCATAATCGTTTGTTTTGGATTTAAGGATGGCAGAGAAGAAAGTGTTGCTTTATCACGTATTGGTAAGAAATAAAAATACCATGATTGCCCGGTAGACTAACAATCATAACGTAATGATTTTTTTGTAGTAAACGGAGAAAGAAACTGTTCCAAACCCTGATCTTCTTTTTGGAGACATGAACAACGTAATTTTTATGATTTTTAAGCAATTGATGTTCAGATTCTCGGACCCAACAAAACAACGCAAAAATTACTACGCATTCGTGTAGATAAATTTGTAGTAGTAGTTGTAGTTATTGTTAAAGGTATTTAACGTTTTTTGACCTCCCAATATCTTTTCGAAATAACACTTGTAACATATTCTTAGCACCGAAAAGTTGGATATACCGTTGGAAAGCTAATGAAATGAAGCAACTTTTTTTGAAATTCCTAATGACTCAACAATCTATTTCAACGAGAATTTCTAAAAATGAGTTATTTTTAATTTTATTTCATAATATTCTGACGGTGCGATATTTTGATGTTGACATCTTTGTCATGTTACATTAAATTGATGTTAGATACCAAAAATGGTAACAAGAGTCAAGTAATGTTCAGTCACAATAGTATTTTTATGTATACCATGTTATTTTATGTATATGTTAGTATCATGTTCGGAATCCCTTTATGAATCGATATGAAAAACGTGTTCTCAAAGTCGATGTAAATGTGCAGCTGTAACAAGTAGGGATAGGTTATATGTATTCAATATTTTCAAATTTCTATAATATTATAATGTCCATATCCACTAATATAGACCTTAATTCCAGAACATAATGTAATAACCTTGCCTTGTTTTATATTATAAGATTTCCGGAAACGCATTGAATAATAATATTGGTTCAACATATTAATGTTGGGTTTACTTTCCAAGGTCGTTTAGAGTTTCCCAGCTGGGTTGTCAGTAATTTAAAATTACCTAGAATCTAACAGTAATAGAATTGTAATAGAATAAAGAAACAAGGGGTAATAGAGATGAAATCTATACATTTGGAACATAAATAGAAATTAAAAAGAGTGTTCTTCCATTCCGATTCCGTATTATTACTTTACAACCCCCTTTTCTTGAATTTCGGAAGATATATACTTTCATATAGCTCAATAATAACCACCCAGTTGAAATTAATTTTCGAAAGTCCGCCTATAATTAATACAGGAAATCAAGTACCTTATTACCGACTAATTTCTTGAAGCTTACATAGAGTGACAAAATACATACCTTCTAGAATGAAGTTAAGTTTATTTTTGAAGTTTTAGAATGAAGTTAGAAAAAGGACCTTTCTTAATTAGTTGAGGCAAACGAATATTTAATTATTGGTTATATAACTGGAGCTAAATGCTACAATCTAGGCTCAAGTTATTCTTATTTTATAAACCAATATTTCCATTTGAGAAAGAGGTCTCAGAAGACACGAAACCTTGCTATTATGTTGTTGATTTTGAAATAAATATTCTGGTTTTATCTAAACCGATAGCCGAATCATTTTAACACAGGTACCAAAATCAATCGATTCACTCAGACACACGGGCGGATCTAAGGGAGGGGGGCTTTCGGGCTGAAGCCCCCCCCCTAAATGGGAAATCCATGTTTTATCGAAAAAAAATATTTTAAAAATATCTCTCAAAGTATTATTGTTCGTGTAATTACATTTAAAAGAGCTTTAGGCATCACTTAAACACCATTTCATATAGGTAGTTAGTTTATTTTTTTTTTCCGAAGTAATTATTGTTATTTTTATGAAAAAAAAGCTTTCGGGCTGAAGCCCCCCCCCAAAAATTAAATCCTGGATCCGCTAGTGCTCAGACGTATAAAGCAATTTTGTTTTCCTACCAGTCAGGAACCATTTTCATATCAAATTCATTTACAAGATTTAATGACTGTAGCTTCAACGTACACAAGATATCTCTCACCGTAGATTAAAACAACGTGGTCCTCAGGCCATTTGTGAAAAGAGTTACATGACTTTTGTAGTCCTGGCAGTGGCTGCTAATAAGTCATTAGTAAATCTCGGTTGACATTCAGTCACTGGATCTCTGTGTGCAGCACTGATATGGGATCTCTCCAAGTTCTTTGTCCACAGTTTTTTGTAATAAACTTTATTTATAAATTTCAAATGCTGCCTGCATTAATTCTTCTGTTATTTAGAACATAAGATAAAATAATGCGTCCTGAGTTGCCAGTCTTTACATTTTTCATACTCCGGCGCCTGCACTAAGCGGTAAACAAGACAACAACGGAAAATATGAGAGTTCCTTTTTTTTGGATACTCGACTAACAACTACCTTCAGCGGCTGTCCCCCACCTCCAATTGATTTTTCATTGATTTCCAAATTTCAGCTTTTTTTTTTTTCGTTTATTGTTAATGCTTTTTAGGTGTATATAAAAACCTTTTTGTTCACGTTTTTCGTAACTTCAATTAGACTTACGTGCTTAAAATTTATTTTAGCACTCTGAAAATCTGCCTTTTTCTAAGAAATCAAATAAATAAATGTTTAACTTTTATCACCAATCTATAACTTTATTACAAAAAAATATTCCTTAGAACTTATATTTTAAGAATTTTTTTCCTAAAACGTTTCACTGAAACAGTTAAAATGGGACTTGAAAGTTACCAATAAAAATTCCTAAAAGTTACCAAACCACCCAACCCCCGCTACTAAACAACAGCAACCAGTCCCAGTAAAATTCAAAAGATAAATTTTCTTCTTAGTCCAAAGAGGTAAGACCAGACTGCGCACAGAATTGGCGTAGTTGCTTCCAGACGATTGTCATTGTAAGTTTAGGACCTTAACTTCCTCACGATAATGAATTTTCATAATAATTTTTCAAATATATTGATTTAATTTGAATTTTTTTTTTTTTACATTTATATACTAAATTTTATTTTATTAATAATTTCAAATTATACTATTTCAGTTTCGCTATACTCTATTCTGTATTATTATTGTTATTTTCGTTATAACAGATATTGTTGTGTTTGCATTGTTATTTCAGTTATAGGTGGATTTATTGCTTGTTTTATAACTTTAACATAAAAACCATATAGTATGGGTTACAAGGCAGATAAAAAATCACACACAAACACATATTTCGATATGACCTGCGAAAAATCGCTTTTCCACCCTTTTGAAATATTAGTGACCCAATTATCAGTTCTAAAAAAAAAAATTTTAGGTTTTGGTATATGAAACTTGCTTATTTTTTTTTTAAACATAGTTAAGAGTATTGGTCAACAGATGGAATCAATTGAGTTTAATGGGACAAGATTGGAATTACAAATCCTTTATTATTGACACAAAAAGAAATAAATAATGGTTTTTATTTTAATGAAAACTGAGTCAAACTAATAGTCATTTACTTAAATAGCTTTTAGATGATCAACTTTTCTAATCTGATGAAAAATAAATTCACTAATTATATTATCAGGTGCTATCAAGTAATTGTTCTTTTCTCTAATTTTTAGGAGAAGGTATCCAAACTGGCTTTACCACAAGTAATGACGTTCCCGGTGGAAGTGACAGGCGGCCATCAGGCACAAGTTAGGCTATTCCTTCCTCCAGGCCTCAGGGACACGGAAATAACAAAATATCCTCTTCTACTTCAAGTGTAATGCTAGCAGAACATATTCCAACTAAATTATTTTACACTTTATCTTAGTTGTCTATCAGTTTAAATAGCTTTTACTTTATATATGTATGTATATTGCTCAAAGTTACCATAAGATATAAATGATTCAGGTATGGTGGCCCGGGAACTCAACTGGTCACTGAGAAATGGCGCCTTGATTGGAGCACTTACTTTGCCGCTTCTCATGACATGATTGTTGCTCAAATTGACAGTGAGTAGTAGAGGGGTTATGTATGAAATCGATTATTTACCAAAACGTTCATATTCATAATTTTATCATTTTTATAACAAATATTAATTAAGTTACATGTTTTAAGTATGTTGATAACTTCTGTCAGGCCGTGGAAGCAGTGGAGGAGGCTACAAATTATTACATCAAGTTTATAAGAGACTGGGAACGCTTGAAGTAGCCGATCAATTAGAAGTGACGGAGTATGTACTTTTCATAATATTATTTGTTTTGTTTCATTTTTAAATATTTTTAATCATACAGTAAATGTAGATGATATCATTTTCAGATATCTCAGAGATTACCTCCATTTCATTGATGGAAGAAGGGTCGGGGTATGGGGCTGGTCTTATGGTGGTTACGTGGCCAGTATGTTGTTAGCATCGCCAAACCAAGAGGTGTTCCAATGTGGAGCAGCTATAGCTCCTATTGTGTCATGGAGGCTTTATGGTACATACGGAAAAAATCTTATTTATTTCATTCTTTCTTAGACCTTATAATCTATGTTTTACAGATGTATGTTTTACAAATGTATGTTTTACAGATTCGGCCTATACAGAAAGGTACATGGGGACGCCGAATATAAGCGACAACTATGCGGGTTATGAAGAAGGTGAGCTGATTCGAAGGGTAGCAAACCTCAAAGACAAATCACTATACCTGGTCCATGGCACCGCTGATGACAATGTCCATCTTCAGCACAGTCTTCAGCTTGCAAGAGCCTTGAGTGCTGCAGGAGTCATATATCAGCATCAGGTCTCGTTCTCTACTCTAAAAAATATTTTCAGTTTCAGCAAACTCTGTTTTAGTTAGGCTGATAGTCATGATAAATATATATAGACGCCGTTGTGGCTGACCGTACTAAGCTTTTTCGATTTAACCATTCTCGAGGCGAGCGGCGTCGCACAGTGGGACGAATGGCCAATCTAGGTGAAAAAATGAATGGTGACATAGTTCAAATCCGACGTAATAAAATAAAACAGGAATGTTTAATTAGAAGATAATCATAAATTGTTTTTATTTTAGTGGTGCCCAACGATAAATATAACCCTGTTAATAATTACTGATTTGATGGCCGATGTTTTGTTCAATTAAATGTCTTATCTTTCATTTGAGCTCAATACCACTTGTTAATTTTTTTTTCGCAACAATAATTTTTATTTGATAGGTGTGGATACCAAGAATGACTCAGTATGTTGCAAATTACCAATTCATAATTTGACCTATTAACTTATTTATTTCTGCATGTTATTTTTTTTTTTTATTTTTTTTTTTTATTTGTTTATTTAGAAATATTACATTCTGTCACATCAAGGACATTTATAATAGTGATCAGAGAAAGCACACTCACACTCTATTTACAATAAAAAAAAAATAAATAATACAGAAACTTAATAATAATAAATACAATAAAATAAAAATAAATACAATAAAATAAAATAAATGTATATAAACAAAAGAACTAACCTAATCATACACACTCGGGCTTGAGTGGAGGATCTGGCCATTGCCAAAACTCCAATAGATGCTTATTTACAAAAGGTCTCTGGGCCACTGCCGCTTCAACCTTCGAGGAGGATTGTAAGGATGGGTGGTGCTGGATAGAGATTGTGCAAGGGGATTTGGATGATAGGTAAGGTTTTGGTGAAATTTGGAGAATTTTTCTGGAATAAGGTCTAGGACAAATGGGATATTAAGGTCATGGTGTAGGATTTTGTTATTTACATAGAACGGAGCATCAACTATTGTTCGAAGGACTTTAGATTGAAAGGATTGAATACGTTTGATGTTAGAAGCTTTTGCTGTCCCCCACAGTTCAAGTCCGTATGTCCATATAGGTTTCAGTATTGTCTTGTAGATAAGTAATTTGTTTTCAATAGAAAGTTTGGATTTTCTGTTTAGTAGTCTGTATAGCTGGCCGTATCGTCGGTTGAGTTCTTGTCTTTTGAGTCTAGTATGTGGGTTCCACGTTAGTCTTCGGTCTAAATGAAAGCCAAGATACCGGACTGTGTCTGAGTAAGGAAGCTGGATGGAATTAAAGTGTACTGGTGGACAGGAACTGCGTCGGAGTGTAAAGGTAATATGTTGGCATTTAGATTCATTAACTTTAATGCGCCAGTTATTACACCAGTGCTCAATCAAGGTGAGGTGGTTTTGGAGATTTAAGGATGCTATGTTGGGATCAGAGTTGGATGATAAGATTGCGGTGTCGTCAGCGAATGTTGCAAGAAAAGTATCGGGATGAACAGGGATGTCAGCAGTAAAGAGGATGTAAAGCACGGGACCCAAGACGCTGCCTTGGGGAACACCGGCTTTAACGGAGTAGATATTGGAAAATTCTGTTCCACAGCGAACTCGGAAGGAGCGGTCAGAGAGGTAGGATCGGAGGACTAGGTACAAGGACTGAGGTAAATGGATTTTAAGCTTGAAGAGCAGTCCGGAGTGCCATACCCGGTCAAATGCCTGTGCAATGTCCAGAAATGCACCCGAACAGTATTCCTTGTTTTCTAGGGCTGAGGAAATATGATCAACAACTCGGAGTCCTTGTTGAACAGTAGAATGTTGGGAGCGAAAACCAAACTGATGGAAAGGAATATTTTGGGATTCTATAATGGGTAGGATTCGTTTCAAAAGGATCTTTTCAAAAATTTTTGAAAGGATTGGGAGTAGGCTAATTGGTCTATAGGATGTTGAGATATTGGGAGGTTTGCCTGGTTTTTGGAAAAGGATAATAGTGGAGTGTTTCCATAGCAGAGGAAAGTGGGTGGTGCGTAGGATACAGTTGTAGATATATGTAAGGAATATGACTGCTTTGGATGGAAGTTGTCGAAGGATTTGAGGGGTAAGGAGATCATGTCCAGGAGCTTTACGGGGGATTAATTTTTTTAATTGAAATTTCACTTCGGAAGGATGAATAGCTTTTGGGGGCAAGGAAAGTGGGATTGGTGATGTAAGGAGTTCTTCTACTGTTACGGTGTGGGCAGGATGGGATTCCGGATGTGAAATAAATGTATTGGATAGGTGAATGGCGAACTCCTCAGCCTTATCTTCGTCAGATGCTGCCCAGGAGCCATCATCTCGTCGGAGGGGATGGGAAATGCGGTGAGGATTTAAGATTTTGGTAGTGGTTTTCCAAAGGGAATTGTCGCGAGAAGAAAGGGAGGATAGGTAGGAGTTGAAGGAATGTGATCTGAAGGTGGCTAATTCCAGTTTTAATTTTTTGCAGTAATAATTATAGGAGCAGCGGTCGGTAGGATGTCGGGTACGTTGCCACAATAATCTGGCACGGCGTTTGGTTTGGATTAGGTCAAGGAGGTGTTGGGGTAGAATGGTCTTTTTAGGAATTCTGGAGGAGTCTTTTGGGAAGGAAGCAGTCCAGGCGGCTTGTTGGATTGTGGTAGTAAAGGAATTTACGGCACTATCAAGGTCATCGGGAGTTTTGAGGGATATGTTAAGATCAATTTTATCGGAGATGATTTGGCGGAAAAGGTCCCAGTTAACTGGGCCCCTAATAAATGACGGTGGAGAAGGTTTGGGAACGGGTTCAAGTGAAACATTAAGGATTAGAGGACTATGGTCAGAGGAAAGTTCATTTAGACGTGTAATGGAACAATTGAGGGGACTTAAGCCGCTGTGGATAAAGAAATCAAGAAGATCAGGATTACGGTTGGGATCTGTAGGCCAGTAGGTAGGAGAGTTGGGGGAAAGGAGGTGAAAATGTTGGGAATTGAGTGCAGACAGCAGGGTTCGGCCACGAGTATTCGTGGTTCTGGAACCCCATTGTTGATGTTTGGCATTTAGGTCTGCACCCAAGATGAAGTGATGTCCTAAGGAGTCGAGGAGAGAACGGAATTGGGCATTGGATATGGATCGGTTAGGAGGGCAATACGCTGATGCAAGGGTAACCGGAAAGGAAAAGGTTTTTATCACGATAGCGGTGGACTGTAGGAAATCATGTGTAGGTAACGGGAGTAGGTGATGGGAGAGGGATTGGTGTACAATGACAGCAGTACCGGCATGTGCTTTTCCGTCAGGGTGGTCAGTACGATATGTCAGGTATTGTGGTATTTTGAAGTGCTGTTTAGTGGTTAGTCGAGTTTCAGTAATTAGTGCCACGTCAATATTTTTGTCAAGTAATAATGTAGTTAGTTCGTTTGTGTGATTTCTAACACCATTCGCATTCCAAAGGAGAATGGATAAAGGTTTATTGGAAGTCATTTAAGGATTTTTCGCGGGAGGGATAAAATGTGATACAAGATTGGTGAGAAGAGATATCAAAGGAGTAACAAGGGATCTGAATTCGGAGAGGAAAGATGTAAGTAAACTGGTGAGATCTGTGGTATTTGAGGGAGGAGGAATGCGGGGAATTTGGTGTTGATAAAACTGTTGATTAGGTGAAGTTTGATTAGGATGTTGAGGGTGGGGTTGAGAATTTTGAGGTATGTGTTGTTGTTGCGGCAGGGTCTCACAATAAGTAACATCATTCTTACCTCCTAATAAGTGTGCAAAAGACACCGTTGGGTCAATTTTTTTTGAAGGTCCTCTTCTTGATGCGTTAGGTTCTCTTCTTGATGCCTCTGCTTCTTCTTGGGTCCGGGATTTTTGATATCTTGATTTAATATTCTTGTAGATCTGACAGCCTTTGTAGTTCGCTGGATGTCCTTCAAGGCACAATGCACAAACTGCAGGATCCCGTTTCGGTTTTGTGCACTCCCCGGATTTGTGCTGCTCTCCACATTTCACACAGCGCGGCAGATGATGGCAGTAAGTCCTGGTATGGCCATATGCCTGGCAATTGTGACACTGTACGATTTCCCTCTTAGGATATGGCTTCTCTACTATAACACTTGTGTAGTATATTCTTCTTATTTCGTATATTTTTTCGATCCCTTGATTTGGCTCCAAATCTACGAAAAATAAGGGTAGAGGAACTTTTACTCCTGGCTGTTCTTTACTCTCCTTCTGTACATTTGTAATCTGGCGCACTATGAAACCTGAAGTTTTCAATTCTTCTTCTATTGCTTCGGTTGGTGTTGAGGGGTGTAGATTTCTTATGACTACCCTCAAAGCTCGATCTTGCCGTAATTGGTACGTATGAAAATCCGCGTTGGTTTCCGTTAGATACTTCACAATTTTTCTGTAGGTTTCAGCTGTATCTGGTGATATCTTCGTGTCCTTTGTTCTGCTTAGACATGAATAGCTTCCAGAGCCTGTTATTTTGTTCAGTTGTGAGCATAGTAACTGAAAATTGTTTATGTTTTTAACGAATATGGGTGGAGGTCGGGGATCTCTTGGTATTGAAGCGGATTCCATCACTTCTTTATCATTCTGAAGCACCTGATAGGGGTTAGGGGTGAAAAACGGAGATTGTTCGGTTATCTCTTGTGAAGATGTACCTGGTTGATGCTGAAGTTCTTCAATTGTTGGTTTTGATGATGTTCCTGGCTGGGTTTCATTTTCTCTGGAGCTAATAGGCGTTACTGCAGGTGTTTGACGACATTGACGAGGCTTTTGTTTGACAGGCGAAGAACAAGGTGTTGAGCCTAACGGCCGAATTCTCTTGATAGAAGCTCTACTAGACATGGCCTGATTGTGATATCGCATATAAGGGAAAAAAAAATGAAAAAAAAAAAAATAAAATAAAATAAAAATAACCCTATAATTTATAACAAACAATAAATATCAATTGTTATTATGTATTCTTGACTTGTTTTGAATAAATAATCTCAAAGATTTCACTGCAAAATAAGCAAATTCTGAGAGACGATGTAGAAACACGTCCTTTCGCATCAGCTGATCCACTGCCACTCTCT